TACGCACATCCCCCCCCCCGTGCGGAGAGGATCGGCTGAGCAAGGGGGGTAATGAACATCACCAAATTTTGAAATGACATTTCCTGGGAACATTTGCTGAACTTCCATGAATGCTATCGCCGTGTAAGATGCACTGTCCTGTGGGAACCATATTTCTCTCGTGTCCACTCGACGCCTTCCAAGTACTAGACGAAAAAATTCTGTTTAACATTTCGACTGAGGACATTTTCGGTCTGATGTCACAGCAACTGTAGTTCCTCCCTCTTGAAAACAGTAAGGCCCAACAATCCCCATCTTGGAGATGCCATACCACAGTTACTTTTGAGCTTTGGAGAAAATCGTTTACGTGCGTTCTCCGACGGCCAATACCGACAGTTTTGGACATTAATGAAACTGTCTAGACTATAAGAAAATGTGATTCATTACCCATTAATACTGAGACATCTGCATCTTCCGTAAGAATAGAAACGCTCTTGTGGCTCAGTGGCGAAGTCGCTGACCTTTCATCACTGAGGTTACGGGTTCGATTCTTTTAGAATCCCCGTAGAACTGCGTGTGAAATTTGTTACGGCAAAACGAGTTTGCGTGCTTCTCAGAATGAGCCTATTCCAACCCTTATGAAACGCGAAGACGCTATCTGTCGGCGATACTATGGCTGACGTGACTTGACAACACAGAGGCCCCTAGAGAGCCCTTGTTAACGGAGGATTACTCCAGTGCGCTCAACGCTCCTAACGGAGTTTGGAAACGCGTTGCATCGATATAGACGCAACAATTTTTAAAAAAAAGTAGTTCATTACGCGACAAAATTATTTGCGTTGCACATTATCAGTTTCTCTTGGCCGCAGGACAAACATTATTTTGTACGGGTTTAATTTAAGTTCATCATGTAAGTTGCGAGCGAAGAACGTGATAACTAACAATAAAGCCTCTCAACAAGTCGTTTCGGTCTAGCAAGAACTGACATGTGAGAGCGTAGGCTTCCGCGGCCGGAGTCAGCATTTACTAGGCTGTCCGGGTGACGCCGCGTCCATGGTGAAGGTGCCGACGTTTCGGTCGCCATTCTGCGACCTTCCTCCTGCATTACGCCCTGAGGAAGGTCGCACAATGGCGACCGAAACGTCGGCACCTTCGCCATGGACGCGGCGTCACCCGGACAACCTAGTAAATAAGAACTGACATTCTCACTCTTATCTACATGTTCCTGAGTTCAAACTGAACGAGGAAGACCAGGTGGTTTCTTCTTCATCACAGATCCAGAACTTATAAACGTTGCAACCCTTCGACGTATAGTGTATCATTCTTTGGCTGCATCTTGGCGTCTAACATTAAAATTGCGACGGAAAAGACGTTGAACCGTGACCACAGAATCATTGTTTCTGAAGAACTGTTCGGCAACGAACACAGGATGCTCTACACTCCATAGCGACTGAAACTGCATTGTCTGAGCAGTCTGCCAATGGTCGCTCTAATTCAAAAAACGCGCGTTTCCTCTGCTTCACTCCGTATTAATAAAAATAAAAAAAAAAAAAGGAAAACGGCCAAAGTTTATTTACGGCGTATTTCGATCGTTGAAATCTGATTCTAATCTAACAATAGTAAGTTCTCCTTAGTAATTTTGCCAACTGTACGTATTACGCGTTGCACAGACACGAGGATGTTTTTTGTTAATCTTGGAGGCCGAAGACCGGAGCTTCGTTATGAAATTAGACACACGTTTCGAAATTAGACATTGCGCCTAACAAGTATTTTGTCATTATAGTTCGATTTCTAAGTACGCCTTCTTTCCATTCGCGGTTATACGTTACACTGTTTATAAAAATTCACTATTGTTACGTTGGCAATATCAAGGACCACCGTATTTTTAAATTCCTTGAGGTTGGTACTACGACATACGAGAAAAAAAAATGGCGTCCTGTCTAGCTGAACTAGTATATTCAAAAAATTCGATTGTTAATTTAAAGAAAATAAACGGAAGTAATAATGAAATTTAAAAAAATAATTATAAATACTATTTTTTATTAGAAGTTTTCGACATAATTGTTTGGTGTATTTTCAGAACTTCATAATTAAAAGAATATGAAGTAATTTGAAGTTGAACTTGAATACGAAGGTGTCTATCTACATAATTTAAGTCTGCCAATCTTTGCTATTGTCCTTACAGTACTCATTTGAATGCCCTGTGTGCTTCTGGTGCATGAATACTATTCTTGTTAAACCATATACAAGCATTTGAAACAATAAATATACATTTGCTGTTTCATTAAAAGTTGCAAGAAATGTAAAATATCTTTATATTTAATAACAGTGTATCAGGTGAAAGTTCAATAAATCAATGAAGTATCGTAAGGGAGTTAACTCCATTTGTTTGCAGATATGTTAATTTATCTACTTAATAATGATGTACAAGAGGGGATAAATATAAAAAATATAGAATTATCCATTGTTTGTGAACAGTTGGACATGAAAGTTTTTAGTGTTTTGGTACTAAAATAAAAAAAAATTATAATAATGGGGAACACCAATTTAGACTTCGAATCAAGTACTTGTGTGTCCAAATGTGGAAAGGTTTGGGAAACACAAATGCCGTAGAATAATTGAAAGATCATGTTGAATATATTAACAAGAAAATAGTTAACAATGTTAATTTGTATTACAAATTGACAAGTTATTCCAAAACTTGGAAAGAAAATATTATTTAAATTAATTTTCAGGCATTTGTGTTTCTGTTCATCTGTTACACTTTCTTACTTTTGTAAATAAAATAGAAATTGAAAAGCTATAAACAACCTTTAACAAAGGAATGAGAGCTCATTTACATAAAAGTCATAGAAGTAAACATTTCAGTAATATATTAAAAGAAATAGAATAAGTATGAGTTGGAAAGGAAGTAAAGACATTTTTACATCAGAAAATCAATTATTACCAGAATATTTTCTCTTTTTTTTTTATATAAAACACCGGGTATTCAGTATACAACAGTCTAGGTTAATCATTTCCTATAGAAAGAATACATACAAAGTAAAGAATATAGAATAATAATTCATAGAGGACTGACAATGTGAAATGAATTATCCCAGGAAATAGTTATTCATGTCACTAGGAAGATTATGTTTATCTGGTAGGAGTATAATGAGTACTATGTAAAAACAAAAAGAAATTGAATGTTTGGCAAACAATACGGAAAATTGCTATAAATGTAAATTGTATTATGGTAGACTTGATATACTGCTGAATTGTTAAAGGCAATAAAATTTTAATTTTTAAAGCAGCAATTTTAAATTTAAGCTACTGTATTTAAACTAGCCATAGGATATTTTTAAATACATAAAATTATAGAGGAATAATTCCACTCTGCTTAATACAAAAGTGTATGGTAGAAGAATGACTCAGAGAAGCAATTTTAGAACAAGATGGGTAGATGAAGAGGCAGGTAGATCTACGAATGATAATGTATTCATGAATGATAAAAAAAAGAAAGAATTCAAGTTGTCAACAAACTGAGTTTTTGTAAATATCTCAAAAGCTTTTGATAATGAAAATCAGAATAAATTGTATGACATAATGTAAATAAGGCTTTCCAGCACACATTGTGAATATACTCGTAAGTTTTTATGCTGGTTTGAGAAACAAGATTAAATACTGGAAGAGGAGGAAAAAAAAAAAAAAATGCAATAAAAAATCTGACCAGAATCTTCCATGCTTTTTCATACAAAATCTATAAATATTTAAATAAAAATGAGAAGCTTTTTATTAAACAATGTGTTTTACATCAAGAAGCCTTTTATTGCAGGGAAATGGGAAAGAACATGGAAATTTACAGATGTCAGCACACCGCTTACGCTAAACAATAAGTAAGGCCCATGATAAAAGAATGCCAAAAGAGAATTCAAACGTTATTATTGTCTTCTATAGTAATTCACCTCTAAAAACAAAGATTATTGACAAAAATTGAATAGGAATCGTCCTCGCATTATTTACGATATAAAAAAGACTATGAAGAATATATCTATAATAATAAAGTTTCAAAATGTCAATTTATACATGATACACTGAAAAATAAAATAAAGATAGTTAAAAAGTCAATTTTTAACTCAAAAGTACTTCCTTCTTCTTGGAAGTGAGAGCTGGAGAAACATAATCAGAGTGTGAAAATTAAGTTCCTTAGAAGATAAAAGCTGCACTTGGGAAGAAAAATATTATATAAAAGAGAATGAAAGTGAAAGACTTCGAAGCAAGAACGTGGTACTGAAGTGAAAAATAAAATTATCAAAAATGTTCACAGACTACTTCTTTTGAATCAATAAGCAATTTTAAATGGAAGTGAAAGTTTCACCAGCATAAGTTTTTTGTTATAACACTGCGTTCCCGAGAAAATAAACATATATTTCAAGTTATATTCGTAAAAGGGTGTGAAATTATTTCCAATTCCATTTCTTTAATCATTCATACATCCACTGAAGTTGTGGCATGGTAACAAACACCACAATTTCTTTCCAAACGTCGACGGCTGCGTTAATCCGTTACCTTCGAATAAAGCTTTGCGATTATGATTTGCAATCCCCAATCCTCCCCAAACGTGTGTATTTGCAAGTTTTCGTATCTATGAACAAACAGTACATCTAGCCCGGCTTTGAACGTATTTTCTTTAATTCCTTCGAAATGTTTAGTTATAACATGGGATTAAGTCATACATTTCTTTTAAAAATATAGTTGGTACAAGAATGAAAAAATTGCACTGTTCACTGAATTTCACTGACGTTAATCGTAAGAACCAATAATTCATATATCTCCATTAAACTAAATTACAAAAATCTATTATCATGGAAGAATTCATGCTATTATTCAGAATAAAATCATACACTTCATAACTTTCAGGATAGCCAACGTAAACAAAATAGAAAGACTGTTTAGAACCAACAGTTTATGAGTTAAGATTAGAAATTTTGTTGCCAGTAAGTTGGCAGCGATAGACATCATTCCTAGCGGCCAAACAACACATCTTGGCTTGTTGGGGATGTGGGAACGCTATTGGAGAAAATGGCGGACGGGGTGGACATTGATTTGTACGCTGACGATATAGAACAAGATTTTGCTCAGGTACACAAAATCTAATTATTTACTTCTATTAATTGCTATGTAATGTACACGTAATTGCGATTTTTATCGACAGATGTGTTAAAATAGTTTTAATTAATAAGAATTTACTATTTAAATTTGCCCCTACTGTGCCGTGGCGTTGGACTCGTCCCCATCGGCGTCGAATATCATGCCGGGTACCGGTTTGTGTAACATTCGAAAAACACACTGCGGATTCATTAGATAAACTCCGGTGGGAAGCGAAGATTGGGTTTTGAACATACATTAGTGTGTCGTGCTATTGCGCTGGAGAGAAATTTTCTCTGTAAATGTGTGAGAACGACAAGATATTCATAATTGTACGTTTGCTATGGAAGAACTTACGAAGGTATTCCTTTAATTTTGTACAAACGAGTAGAAGATTGAGTGTACATCTGTTTTGTGGCAATATATTGAGGTTTTGTGAGTTATTCTACTATATATAATTATCCGCAAGTGGCTATAAAGGTTTTATTTGTGAGAATAGATTTTGGAAGAGTTTGATTACCCCTAGTTCAGTGGATTTTATTTTTCTTGTCAGTTTCAGTAAAGTGATGATCAGATCATAAATGTGCAAATTTTGTTTATGTTTCGTCTTGGATTGTGCCTGTAATTTAGTGTTCAAATATTGCCTATATGTCTGTTTTTTGTTTTTTTTGAGAGTTTATTTTCTGTTTTCAATAACAGGATGAGTTTGCTGCTGATGGGGTAGATTTATATGATGATGTAATTGCTGCCCCACAATCTGCAGCAACTGTAGGGGAAGAGGGACCTCAACCTCCTCATACCCCAGGACCCCCCATTCCAAATGCAGAGGGACATTCACCCAATTCCAATCCTCCCTACCATCAAATGGGCAATAACATTCAGCCCAATCAAGTAGGGAGACGTCATCAACTTTACGTTGGAAATTTAACATGGGTAAGTAATGAAGTGATTTGGTTACAATGTTCACTTTCCTTTTTTAATTACCTTTATTTATTTTTTAGTGGACAACTGATCAAGATATAACTGACGCAGTTCTTGGAATTGGTGTTACGGATTTTGTGGAGGTCAAATTTTTTGAAAACCGCGCAAACGGCCAATCAAAAGGGTTTTGTGTTATTACTTTAGGATCAGAACCTAGTATGCGTATGTGTATGGAACGACTCCCTAAAAAAGAATTACATGGACAATGTCCTGTAGTAACCTTTCCTACAAAAGCTGCATTGAATCAGGTTGGATTTGTAAAAATATTATGTTGTTAACTTTCTTTATTAGTAAGGTTTTTCATTAAATTTATTTGTTTTCAGTTTGAGGCTCAGTCAAAGACACGGCCTGTACCTCCTCCTAATCCTGGTCCAAGGAATGCACACCCTCATCAACACCCACATCCTCCACGCATGATGATGGGACCTCCTCAGGGCATGAGGCCCAGAATGCCACCTCCAGGAATGCCTCCTCCAGGACCTGGACAAAGAATGCCTGGTCCCCCCATTTCTCATGGGGGCCCACCAGGGCATGGACATCCTCAAGGACCTCCTTCTCAGGGTCATCCTCCTCCTGGTTTTCAGCATGGGAATTGGAATGGCCCACGTGCTAATGGTAAAGTATAATATGATTGATATAGAATCTCTTACATGTTCTGCTTTCAAGATAATGGTGAAAGTTGTCAGCTTTGCATAAGTTATTGGTTTGTGCTGTTCCAATGGGCCATGTTACAAACGCAACAAAGTAAATAATTGTTACTTAAATCCTACACGTTTGCTCTGTCACATGTTTTATTGAGAGATATCTTCCTCTTTGCCATCCTTGTGGAGCAGATGCTACTGAGTGCTTATTTCATAATTTACTTGTTTGTAAGATTTCTTAATAACTATTGCTATTTAAACCTGAGAAGCATGTATGCATTTAGCAATCAATCATATCCGAAGTTAAGCAGCACCATCCAACTTAGAGACTTAATCACAAATTGTCCACCACCTTGTATTTATCACGCAAAGTTGTTTTTCAAGGGACAGGCAAAACTTCTTACAGCTGGATTGAATAAAGTAAAAGTTAGTTTAGTTGCATTAACATTTCAAACAAGATCAGTGATGTGCCACAACCACTTATTATTATGCTGATTGTTTTCAGTATAATTTTTCTTAAATTGTGGATAATGCAAAGAATGCTTACTAGAAAGACTTTTTCTGTTTGTGATAGTGATCCATCTGTCACGAGAATGGCAGGACATTTCTAAACATTAGTTACAAATGAATATAAAGTGAGGTAGATCCAAGAAGTAATGTGATCAGTCCCTGTGCTCCTCCCTCTTTGAAATTACCATTTCCTTTGTTTGCCAAAGACCAAGTAAACCAACTAACAGTAAATGTATAACTGTAAGGCTGTGTAATGAAAAGAGTAAAGCTTGATTTTATGTTCAAAATATATTGTGGAACAACAGAAGGTCTAACATTGAAACAAAGTTCTGTCAGCTCAACTCAGCCACATTAGACTTATCAAGTAGGAACTCAAAACAAAGTATTGTTTAATTTTTCAGAGATAAAATAAATGTGATATAAAGTAATTATTTTTCAGTTCAAGTTATTGATTAATATTAATCGTGTTGCACTCTTACGGGAAAAAAGAAAATCAGGGAATTTCATTGCTAAGGAATTTGAAATCAAAGAATTTCTAGAAGAATTGTTAGTTAGAGAAAATTTTGAAACTTATATAACCAGATTTTATTTCTTAAATGAAAAGTACAATTTTTGTTTTGTTGAGTTTAGTGTATGTGTGCGTGTGTAAATTTAATTTGAAATATATGATGTGAAATTAGAGCTGACAAATTAGTATGTCTTGCTTGAATTTTTTTTTTAAATAAGGTGAAATACTCTACAATTTTTTTGTTGAAGATAATGATACACAGGAAAACCAGGAAATTTATTCTAAGAAATAATGTCCCCTCATGTGAAAGCTTTTAATGTGTTGAACTAACCTACTCCCTAGATAGCTCAGTGGCAATAAATTGATTGCTAATAGGTTTTCATGCTTCAAGATTATTAGTGTCATAAAATACTATTTTATTCTCATTATAAAATATTATTTTATTCTCATTTTCAAGAATTTTGGATCAGTATTAATGTACAAAGCAGATATGCCAAAATGGTTGTTGTTTTTTACAATTTCTATAGATGTGTAAAAATATTTTATGTTTCATTAAACCTGAGTGCTTAGTGCCTCACATTACATTTTAGCTACACACTTTTTGGGCCATTTTCATACTTCTCAATTTTTCTGCTAGAACTCACTATTTTAGTAAAATTAAATTATTAATTCAATTTTTATTTTCTTGTATATTGCTTATGTAGTATTAAGAATTGTAATGCTGCAACAAAAAACTGATTTTTTGACAGAGAAACTCGTATTCTGATACTCTGATACTGGAAAACTGGATAAATCTTGTTCCTATGTACAGTAAATTACTTCCTCTAACATGTTCTGCTGTCAGAATCAATGTTTTGTTCTTCGATACCAAAAAATTAGTTGAAAGCAAAATATCTGTCTTTAGCCCTTAAACCATTCAGAGAATTTTCTTCTAGGATTTCTTCTACAGATCTAGTTAAACAGAAGGCCCTTGTAATTTAAAATGTATGTTTTTATTTGGGGGTACTTTACAAAAAGCTTCAAAGTTCTCAAAACTCAAAGTTTATTACATTTTGTTCTTAAACTACTTTTTTGTTCAGTGTTTGGTCTACACAAACATTTTTTTGCCAAGTTTCTTTATTTTAAAAACTTTTGTCCTTGCAGCTATTAATGAATAAATTTTATTTAGGTTAATGAATCTGTTTTTTTAGGTATATATTATTTAGATTTTTCCAAGTAAGATCTAGTTTTCCTTCATGTAATGTTTGTAGTGTTTTATTTAAAAAAAAACCTGTAATTTTCAACTCTTTTATAGTTTAATTGTAAGGAGGCTTTGCAATATAGGAAAGCAAACATTTTTTAAAAATATATTTGGGAATAATTAATTTCATTATTTGAGCTCATTACTCTAAAACATTTGAAAAAATCATTGTTAATGATAATTGGAGGCATTTGTGTCTAGTAATGCATTAAATTGTAGTGTTAATATTAACATGTAAGATACATATTTTTTTTAAAAAATCTGGAATATAAGTAGTTTTAATGAAAATGTTGTGTAGTGTAGTGCAATGTGCTCCATCTGTACAAAAAGTTTACAGAAGGTACTTGAAGTCAATTTTGAGAACATCCTTCTGAGGTATTTTTTGGAAAATTAACAAGAAAAATACACAAAATATCTAACATTGTGAGAAATCTTTAAAAGTCCCAATATCGAAAAATTAGTTGCATTAAGGCCAAAATGTGAAACTGCAGTTCTAATAGATAGTTCTGAAAAAAAAAAAATTGAAAAGAATCTGAACTCCACTCCTCCTCCTGTAGTGTGTTTCACAATGGAGCTCAGATGATTGATATTGATTTTAGTTCAGTCTGTGAATATAGGTGTTGTGGTGCGTTATCGTTGGCATTTCTAATAAAATAATTATATGCGTTGTCATGGCCAACAATAGTATTTATTACAAGAGCAGCTTTCGATGGCTTCAGTTACTGATGATGATGATTAAGCCATTGAAAGCTGCTCTTGTAATAAATACTGTTGTTGGCAATGACAATGCATATAATTATTTCTTCAGTCTGTGAAACCATAATGCAGTGGAATACATGATGACTATTATCCTTTATTGCACAGAACACAATGTCCTGCAAAAGGAGATTGAATAATGTTTTATTTCATATTTTCCCGATTAGTTTTCTCTAAAATTGTTTAAAGCGTTAAACAATTTTCATATTTATTTCAGAGTATCAAAGTTTCTGTACTCATATTGAAATATATTACAGGTACTGTTAATTACAATATAAGGAAGCCTGTATTAATTTTATTTTATGTAAAAGAATTTTGTCAAAGACTACCGTCACCCCATCTTCAACCCCAAATTTGGTTCTGAATTGCCTGGCAATTTTCCGGTTGATACCAAGAATACGTCTGCAAATAGGTTAGGTATTACAGATTTGCAACACATTTTCATTTTTATACTCTAGTAATGTACTCTTAAATGTTTATATTTCACTCATGTGCCAAGTAGGGCCCCGCAATTGTACATGAAGAGATCTTGGTATTAAGATATGTTTTGTTCTCATTTGGGGAATTTGTTTTCCTTTATTACCTGTTTTAAGACATTGTATCCAGCCACATTTTTGTGTTGAGTGGGGAGGGGGGATATGAATAGACAGATGCAATCTGGTGTGCACATGCGCACACACACACACTTCCCCCGACCAATCACTTCCATTCTATACACTAGTTGCCTAAAAAGCCTGCCTTAGGCAGAGAAACTCAGGGGAAAAAATGAAACCTTAAAGTTGTTGAAGTGTAACAAATAAGCATACAATGTAACTTTGCTGAAAACAGTGCCTTGGTTAGTTCTTTAGTAATAATTTTATCAATCCCAGAAAATGTTTTTTTCAAAAGCTTGAATAAATTTTGATTATTGTTAAAGAGCATTAACTCCAAAAAGGGTTTTTTGTTTCAGTATAGTAATATATCTTATCGATTTTTTTGTAAGGTAACAGGTTGCACTATTTAACCTCAAAGGAACTGTTTCTTATAGTTTTATTTTTTAGGGTCTAAAAATGTCTCAGAATGTTTAGTTTGGAATTTGCATTTTTGTTCATTATACTAATGAACTAAGTAAAATGTTGGTTTCGTATGCTCATTTAAATATTCGTAAGGTTGTAGAAAATTGTTAAGAAATTAAAGAAGGATTGTATTAAGATTAATTAATTCTTTTAATTGTTATTTCTGCATAGGACTTAACTGACTAATTTTTAAATTATTAAGAATAGGTTAGGCAATAAGCTGTAAGGCTGATGTGAGTGACAAATTTTCTAAGATTTCTTCTGCATTGTAATTTTAGTGTTCTTGTCTTGTTTGTGGTGTTGGTGTCTTCTATGTTAGTACCTTCTGTTTTCTCCATTCATCCTCTCCATTTTCCGTTGGTCTTGGACATTTTTTCCCTATTCCCTCTCTGACGTTCCTAGTTATTCAAGCTTATGTCTGTGTACTGATTTATGCTACCTTTATCCATTATCTCTTGCGAAGAGATTTTTTTAACTCCTCAGAGACCTTTACTCTAACAAGCTCTCTCACCTGTCTTCATCAGAGATGCATGTGCTGTTTGCAGGCCCGCCCAGACCTGGGCCTCCCCCACAAGGCCCTCATCCCCAGGGTCCACAGCAGAGGCCACCTCCAGGAATGGTATGCACACGTAACTTCTTCCAGTTCTTTTCTGTCCTGTAGTGTGGCCTTCTTTAGTTATTGAACAATTGTTTAATGAAAGAATTTCGTGCAGATTTTTAATTTAAAGATTAATGGTTATTTATTTGATGCGTTCAGCAACCATTCCAGGGGCCACCCCCAGGCCAAGGACCTCCAAGAGGCCCCCCTCCTGGTGCTATGCCTCCGGACCCCCGTGGTCCTCCGCCACGTCCTGAATGGAACAGGCCTCCAGGACCAGGTATGGGTGGGTGGTAGGGCTTTTCCTTTTTTTTCCTTTGTCCTTGTGCTTTCTACCTGTCAGTCATTGTAAATTGTTAGGGAGTCTTGCATGATGTGTTGTTTGATGCAATTGGTATTTATTTTGTTGATTGATTTGAAACTGATGGTTTCTTCTCTTGTTTTTTTGTGGGATGTGTAGGTATGCCTCATCACCCCGGAGGGCCTGGGTTTCCCCCTCATAGCCAGCCTCCACCAATGCAAGGACCCCCACCAGGGCAAGGACCTCCTCCAAGAGGGCCCCCGCCAGGCCAGATGGGAGGTAGGATGTTGATATTTTTTTCAAATCGTATTCTTGACCACAGTTCATCAAAGTTAATACACTGAGAAGAATGAGCTAGGATTATGTGCAATTTTTCTTTTAATCTCAAAGTAGTGTGATAGTAAATGTTTGTATTCCTCACTTGCAAAAATTGGACTTGAGAATTTCATTTGAAGAGATCAGGTGTGAAGCTACTTTTTGCTGTTATTTGGGAAATAACAGCTTTCTTTTGTTACCCAATTCATGTCAGCGTTTCCAGCCATATTATCATTACATTATGATACGATCCAATTTCATGCATGTAGAGAGATCATTATTACAAAAGATTGCGATAATCATTCATTGATTGCATCAGTAGGTGGTATATTCGCTGGGTGATACAACTTTGGGATTGTATGAAGGGGACCTTTGCTCGATCAAATAGCAAGGCTCTTCCTAGTCATTCATGTGTGTGTTGAAAGGATATAGGAATTGGATTCTTGTTACAACAAGAGGCTCCGAATACGGTATATCAATATTCCGTATTCTGTTGCTTTTGGAATATGCAGGTAAATATAATATGTGAAGTTATATTTACTTCGTTATATTATATTTACCCATTTATTTTTCTTACTTTTTTCTGCTAATTGTAGCATAGACTTATGACTTTTTCTTCAGAAATGCACTTTCAATATTCTGTTTGTGAGAAGTGATAATTTCCTTGTTGACAACCAGTTAATTGGAATTTTAGGGGAAGAACTTCACTGTGTTGCTGGTTGTACTGTAGCTGGCTTTCCAGGAATTGCTTTTAACAAGGATTAAAATGTATAATTTTTCAAAATGTTTTAAAAATAGAGGATGTGTAAATTACACGAGTGAAAGTTTTGTTTATAATATGGTACATTAATGAGTGTTTTAGATTGTTTGTGTTTTAAATATTAATATATTTAAAAGAAATTGTAACAATACAATGATTGAATGTTAACCCTTTCACTGCTACGAGTGCACCTACAGTGAGTTATGCGGTATATGCAATATGTTTGGCTATCACCGCCACTCTGTGCTGATAGCACTGGCTGGGCTGAGCTCAAGTCATAGCTGAATGCAGACAGAGGAAACTTTGAACATCTCAACCAGTAAAACACGAGTAATAAAAGACCAAAGAAAATACTGGTGTAGATAGGACTTAACAAGACTTCAATAACCCCAGGGTTTCCCAGGATAGAAAAGTAAACAGTTACAGGAAAGTGTCAGTGCGACCATTTTCTTTTTTAGTGAGGCAGATCCTGTTGAGGGAGAGGTTTCCCAACTCTCCTTGATGACTAGCGATGCCTCCATAATTCAAGTAAAATTCGTTCCTTCATAGAGGGCACTGAACGAGGCAATAAGCATTGTAGAAAAACCCTGAACTAATAGAAATGTGAGATAAGCAAACTTAGATGAACCACACTTAGATACCTTCAAAACCTTCTCAGGAATCAAAAATGCCCTCGCATGCATAGGATTTCGGCAACAGCCCAATAGTGTGTGATGTCATGTCCAGAGGCTCTTGGGTATAGAAATGTTCCATGGTCAACACAACTGGAGTGGTCAGAGGGTTAATGAATACTAAATGGGTAGGCATGTCAGCTCCAATTTGGCTACACCCAATGTATGGGGACATGAGACTGACTGATCCTAAGTGTGGGATGGAGAGGGACTGAAGGGGATCAAGATCGGCAAATTCTGTGTGCAAAGCATTTGTCGAAAGGATTCACAATAAACAATGCAAAAGACAAGTGCTAAGCAGATAAGAATAGAATTGTAAGTTATGTTCAAAATACTGTTAATGCATTACATTCTAGAATTACGCGTTAATATGTGAATTGTCGTTTTGTGACGTGTTTGACTTTTTGAATTATTTAAACCCAACTCAGGGTGTAAAATTTTCATCGCACAGGATTGCAGCTTCGATTCAGGCCTTTGTTGCTGCGTTAAATTTTATTCTTGTTTTTTATATATATATATATATATATATTATATATATATATAATATATATATATATATATATATATATTATAATAAATGAGAATTATTTTCATAAGAATTGATTTTTTTTAATACTTGATCCTGTTCTGTATAGTTGAAACAATGGATTTTAAGGAGCAATTTATACAATTTAATATAAGCATACCATTTAATGAATACTACATGAAAAAGTTCAATGTTACTGGTACATAACAGTAGCTACTGCTTTTCAAGCTATATCAATATTACTCATAGGCTTAACTGATGTAATAAATTCTTGCTTGTACAGTATTACAATACACATCAGGTAGGAGCAGCTGTCACTGGAAGTATTCAAGCTGTTTTCAAACAATAAATAATCTAGGTTGATCCAAAGAATTGCTGTTGGCCTTGAAAAAATTCACTATGCAATTGGAGTTGACATTGTTCCAGAAAGTTTTGACCCATTCACGGCCAGTTTTGGACAGACATTTTCTCTTTTCCCCTGGTTTCATTCCCTGTCGGAATGATATCATACATTTATTCCACTCATATAGGTTTTGAAAGGATATATAGATTGAGTGGCTGGCTGCATGAGTCCTGCTGGAGTATCTACAATTGCAGTTGTTTCTATACACTGAAATGAATTATACGCGCACCTCTTTTTTTCTCTCATCCAAGCTCATCTTTTTTCCCAAACTTTATTAAGCTATATCTTCAAACCTTTAAGCATTCAGCGTTTTTGTGTACATCATAAATACCTGTTGGCAGTTTTTCATTGGGCAATGTTTTTCTCTTGGGGGGGAAATAAGAAAAAAAGAAAGAGGCAGTTTTGTACCATCTGCTCAGCAGGCCAGAGCAGAAGGAGCTTTTTTCTTTGTGTTAATAATGCACCTATGAAAAGTAATGATCTCTTCAAATTCCACTGTAACCATCGAGAAACCATCCCTCTTTGAAAAAAAATTACCGTCGTATTCATAATTGAAGAAGTAACCTGGAGGTGGAGGTAGCGGACCCGGAATGGGGACCTTACTAATGGCCTTGCGAAACTCAATTCCTGTGCGGAAACAAAGGCCGTGTCCTGCCTGCGCTACAACTGGCGGCGGCGACGCGCAATTGCTTGCTTGAGTTTCAAGCTTGATGATACTTGAAATTCTGCGGGGCAAAGCGCGTTGAGTTCTACGTAGGCGACAGGAAGCACGCGACTGCCGCAGCCTGGCGATATCCGCTGTGCCGCGCGGAGGAGCGATCGGTTTCATTAGCCGCTTGCTCCATCAAGCTAATTAAATCATCCCGTGTGTTAGGGCGGCTTCACGCATCGAATAGCGAGCTGCTGCTTGCCGAATTCCGAACAGCTGTGTTAGTCGAATGTTGTTCCATTTGATGTGTCTTAAAAGCGGCTCCACACATTCGGCATTCGCCGAGTAGCGAGCTACTGCTCGCCCAATCCCGAACAGCTGATGTGTTCGGCGATTTTATTCCCATTTGATGTGTCCTAAAAACCGACACGCGGTGGGTAGGGGCAATACCGAATGTTGGGCGCCCGGCGAATTGCAAGCAAACCGTCCACACTACTCGGGATTCGCCTAATACCACGTGTGTGAGTCGCCTTAGGCGAGTAAAAGGGCCTTCGAAGAGTGGGACGGTGTTCCAATAGTGCAAGAGGCATTGGAATGTGTAAGGTCTGCATTACGATTTTTAGACAATGGACAATGCAGAATCTAGTATGGATACCGAACGACTCTTAAGATTCTCGCAGAAATACGCGACTCAGGTCAGTAAGGTGGGAGCTGAATGGCCCGGTGCAAAGTGATACAAGCATCCGACCTCAGTATCGCGGCACACCCGTGTCGGAGAGCGTGTTTACTCAAAGGGTAGGATGGATAAGTTAGAAGTAAGGGTGAGCTATTATGTTTTAATAAATTGATAATTTTCGAGAATTTGAGTTTTTATTCGAGCTAGGCCCGGTTACGACCATCTCGTATTACCGAGACTGCTGTACACTCGTCGTATTATTGTGATCACAGAAACATGGCTATATCCACGGAAACCTGACTCTTCCTATTGTGTACGAGCTCTTTCGAAACGTTCATTCTCACAAGAGAGGCACAGGGTTGGCTACTTTTCTCCGCAAAATCAACCACGACGGGAAATGCTACGCCAACCTGTGCATTCGTGGCTGTGGCCAAGTCGCTTGCCTTTCACCATAGGTTCCTTGTTCGATTCCCGTAGAAACCCAATAGAATCTCATGTAAATTTTGTTACGACAAAACGAGTTTGCCTGCTTTACAGGGGGCTAGTCCACCCCCCTGTAAAGCGTCCTAAACCTGGGTAAATGACGCGAGCGCAAAGACGCTTCCTGTCGGCGATTCCCTCACGTGCCTTTACAACACGGCGCCCATAGAGTGCGCTAATTAACCGAAGATTACTCCAGGTCGCTCAACGCACCTTAAGGAGTGGTGCCGATAAAGACTAAAAAAAATTCAAGGGCGCGGCCCTGGTTCGGTAATTGAGTGCTTGGGAAAGGTTTTCTTGCAGGATATCCAAAACTCTGACGAGTCTTTGAACTCAGTCTCGAAATAATTTTCCTCCGATTCGTCTACGGGGTGTGGTGGTGTGCTAAGTCTATTCCATGATTCTTTTTGTGTCTGGCTTGCGTAGTTTCATTCAATAAGTTTCTCTCTTCAACCCCCCCCCCCCCCACCCCAAATCCCTGGAGTCACTCTGGTCACAGGTTTGAATCCCGCTTCAGGCATGGATGTCTATGTTGTCCTTAAGTGTTCTTCCTACACTTCCCCCTTCGATTAAAAGTCACGGTGGTTGCTGTAAAGTTGTTAAAATGCTACCAAACGAAACACCCTTCATTGTTCCCGTAAATGAATTAAGGAGGGAACGTTCCGAATGGGGGAAGGAAAAAGTGTTGAAGAGCTTTGAAGGAGAATAGAGTTCAAAATAGTTAATTCTTTATACTGACATACTTCCTACAATCTTACCTATGTACATGCTTTAAGGCAGTGAAATTTGGAAACCGTAGGGGATACAGATTGTTGTGTGTGTGTGTGTGTTTTCTCTCCTCCAAACACTCCTTGACCAATTTCAACATGTTCATCACCTTATCAATCGGTTCATGTATATCGACCTAGCTGTTTAAAACTATTCCAGTTCTTCCCCCGTGCACTACTTGCATACGTACTGAATAGTATGTTAACACGTAATACTAACCTTTCACGACTCTCCCGATGTCTGCAGGGTGCTGACCCTGTGTGAAAGTACCGAGACAGAAAGATGGAATTTCTTCCAGAACAGCCAACTTTCCCACAAAGTACTCACAAAATGCATATTTTGAATCATTAACCCTAACATCAAAAGAAAATAAATTCCCCAGACATAATGGATTTAAGAATACACTGAACTAGTGTACTTTCAATAATATGTGAATTTCATAAAATTAAGTTGTAGATAATCTCAGACGAAAATTGTTAGTGGGTGGGTCGTTGTCAAAGAGGATACCGGCTGGAAAAGCTTGTTGCCGTGCGAAGACAAATCAATGGGCCCTATGTTAAAGCATAGGAACGTTTGAAAAAGAGTAAATGCAGAAAATGAGCTTAAGTGTGTGAATGGTGCAATGACTGGGAAAGCATGGGGTACTGGCGAATGTGCTAGTTGGGCTCTTTCAATTCAAAAGGATTTTATATGCATCGATATTGCTGTAAAATCATCAATATTGAATGACATTTAATGGAAACCATACAGTCCTAATGTATTATAAGATTTTTTTGATAATCTGGCTGTTGTGCAATTTTTATTTTACATATTTGGGTATAATTAATTTTTACATGTTTTACATATTAATATTTCCAGCATCCTATTTTGTTACATTTTAATATACTTAAATGTCGAAAGAAAATATTTCAGATGATATTTTGCTGCTATGATCTCCAGACCATCATCGTGTATTGTCAAACTTAACCTCTGCTTCCCGGAAATTGCGTTCTCTCAATCAAATATAAAGTGATAATTGCTGCCTCTACGTAATTGCTGCCACGTGTTTCTTTCATAGAGGGCATTATCATATTGCACTCCCTGCAATTACTGTGAAATGTGCACCCATATGTCAGGGGCGCAAAATTCAGAACCTATTCATGAAATCCCGCCATCTCATTTGGCTGGAACAGGCTCTACTCCTGGAATATGGCAATCAATAGGAGGCACTTGTTTGGCTATAAATTGAGTTCTGTTTCGTTATTGGAGAGAGTGGGTATTTTCTGTTTCCGATGTGTCAAAAGTTAGTACTACATGTATAGTTCTTTCCGCGAGTGTAGCTTTATTGCCCCCTCCAAACATCTCCTTATAGGGAGAACCGCCCCAACCGGGACAAGTGCTAAGCTTCTAAGTGGACTTGCTGTTTAGCATGTGTGAGTGTGGAAGAGGTAGAAGTGTGTGGGTGTAGGTAGAAGTAGAGTGTAGGAGAGAGGAAACAAGGGTGAGGGATGAGAGATTGCATGTGGACCATTTGTTAGGTTTGATCTGACATTGCCTGGTATTGATGAGAGGAGCCACAGAAAACTGCTGATCAGAGCAGCCTGTCTGCTAGAATTCCCCTCAAGACTGATAAAATTCAATGAAGCTAATGTTGAAAATCTAGTCTTGATTGGAACCTTAAGACCTCCCGATCAATGATGCTGCAGAGGCAATGTAAACGATGATGTATGTGGGATCACAGTTGCTTTAGTGATGTTCTATGAGTGTGTGACTTGTTAAATGACTCAGTCCTAAGGCCAAAATTTTCAGAGGGCACCATCCGAAGAGCACACACATTTTTTTGTTGTCTTGTCACAATGTAATTTTGGAATCTCTCTTTTCTGTATTTATAGATACAGAGGGCTCTTCTGTGAGGTCCCCTGCTTCCCTTCTTCATATTTTTTGCGGTGTTCCTGGCTTTGAATTCTCTATTAACATTTTACACTGGATTCAGAATCTTACAGATATGCCTAAGTTTCTGCCCAAAATCTTAATTTATCTCTAATTTGTTAGTTGCCTCTGCACTCGGGAAATGTTTCCCTCCCTCGTGTTTACACAAGGGCTTGTGACATGGAACACTGAAGACCTACTTTACAGTGTTTTTATTAATTGTTTTCTAGAGAATTAGGTTCTCTTTGCATTTTTTCTAAACACATGGAATTTTCCCCAACATGCATCGTAGAAGACATCATTGGGCTGGACGGAAACCTTCAACTTTTTCTGACCCCCTGTCAATATGTGTGGAGAACCAATTATCAGTAGGGTAAAATGGCACAAATGAAATTAATTGTTACCTACGTATACACACATTTTCAGTTTTATTGAATAGATATTGTAATAATTGTTCTCAAAGGGAAAACAAACTGATACTTCTAATTTACTTTTATAGTGTTGCAGTAACCAGCTTGTTAATTGAGACTTTCTCTAAATATTGTGTTCTGTTGTGTGCAAGTGTATCTCTTTTGTGTAAGATGTTGATTTATAATGAGAGCTATATTCAAGCATGTTACATGCATATGTTTTGATACAACATTGTGATGGCAAAGAAATTTATTAAATGATGTTTAGTACATAGTTTGAATTTTTATCTAATAAAAGTATTGGTAATGCATGCCATAAAAAACCTACTTTAACCTTCCAGTGGGCACACCTTTGATACCCACAGAAGTGGGGAAGTAGGAGCACTACTTACTGCCTTGAGAAAACAGTATTTTACGTCCTCAAAACTTCTGTTATTTACTTAAAGAAAGACTCTCAACTATTTGTCATTACATTTTTGTTACGTCTTAACATGTTTACAAATCACAGAAATGTTGCTACTTTCAGATATAGAGTAATAAATTACGCATTGTTTCAGAAAACCTTATAAAACAAAATGTAACAACGAAAATTTAAAAAAACAAACTAGAAAATTGTTATTAAATAGACAAATTAGTTAAATGAAGCAATCTACTTGGCCTTACATTTTAGAAAAGCATCAATTGGTTTTCATCAAGCCGTTTCCAAATACGCCTGATTTCTTCTCCTGTTACACGTCACAGCCCATCAGCAATACGGAAAAATACGATTACAAGTAATAGGGAAAAAATCTACAAAAAACAACTTAGAACATCTTTACTTTGGCTTACAGTGATCGAAAATACATGTAAACAAACAATCTGAATATGTAAAATGTTTGTTTGAAATACTAAAAATACTTACATGAGTATCCGCAGTAGAGCACAGTAGAATGCTGCAGCCAGAACTTGTTTTTCTTCAAATCTTCTGTATGACTGATAGGGAGAAAACAAAGAAACAGATATCTGCATTGTGTTTAGAATGTTGCCAAGTGAAAATATTGAAGCCCCCTGACATGTCAAATTGCTGTTCTCCCTTTGCGTACAATAAAAGCACAAAGGCAACAAGAAGTGCTGCCACCTGTCCGCTGGAAGGTTAAAGAACTAGTCTTATATTACATTGTAGAAGAGGGTGCTTTAGCGCAGTAGAAAAAGAAGAAAGTGGCTCTAAGGCGTGAGGATTTGTTGCAGGACCGGGTGGGCCTCCCCCAGGTCATGGTGGTCCAGCTGTCCATGGAGGGCCGCCTCAGGGACCTCCAGCTCCCCATGTGAACCCTGCCTTCTTTCAACAGGGAGCTGGACCCCCTCACCAAGGGCCACCTCACCAGGGGCCTCCCCCACCCCATGGGCCTCCTCATGGCTATGGGCCCCCTCCCACATCCCAGGTACGAGGCTGGCCAAAGAATCCCCTTGGCGTAAGTTTTGCTCACACTGTGTTGTTTTTCCCATATACAGTACAATTGGGATGGGTATGATTTGAGTAGTAGCATGAGAGAGATCAATTCACCCTGGCTTTTCTGGAAAATTATTGCTACTGGCATGTGTTTTCATAAAAGGAACTGGACTCATTGTTCATACAAGATCACACTTCTTCATCTAATATCTTCTATCTGAATTAATTTTGGGATGATTTTCATGATGCCTTGCATTTTTCTTTTTGTGCATATTGGCCCAAGTTTTATTAACATTTTCTCATAATGCTTACTTACTGTCATTGCCCACGAATAATAGATGTAGTCAGATAACTCAGTTTAACAACTGTTTAAATGTTTTAGTAATTTTTAAGACCATACTGACATTATCTGATATCTAGTATTTATTTTTGTTTTTAACGAAATGGTGATGCATAATTTTGTGTTTCATCCTAAATGTTCTTTCTGTAGCCGCAATACGGTGCCCCCCCTCCTGAACATCGACCAGAAGGGCCCCCTCCGATCAGTGAAGCAGAATTTGAGGAGATTATGGGGCGAAATAGGACAGTTTCCAGCTCTGCAATTGCAAGAGCAGTTTCTGATGCTGCAGCTGGTAATAACTTGATATTAGCTTGTGTTCTTTATAAGTATGCTGTGTCCTAACATTCTTCATCCTACAGGTGAATATGCTAGCGCCATAGAAACCCTTGTTACTGCTATATCTCTTATTAAACAATCAAAAGTTGCAAATGATGATCGTTGCAAAATACTGATCAGCTCTTTGCAAGACACATTACATGGAGTTGAAACCAAGAGCTATGGATCTGCTCGAAGAGGTAAATAATCTTACAAAAGTCAGTCTCACATTTTCAAAGACTTAAAAATTTTACTTATATTTCTTCCACTATTGCAGAGCGATCTCGGTCAAGGGATAGGGAACGGTCTCATCGCCGTCGTCGTGAGAGATCTCGAAGTCGGGATAGAGAGTACCGTGAACGAAGTAGGGAGAGAGATCGTGATCGTGAGCGAGAGAGAGAGAGAGATCGGTATTATGCTGATAGTTATGCTCGTGATAGGTCCAGAAGTCGAGACAGGGAACGGGAAAGAGATTATCGAGAAAGGAGTCGTGAAGACAGGTATGACTGTTGCTTTAAAAAATTTGTTCTGTATTTGCTATAAATGTGTATACATCAGGATTCACAACTTGTGTTTTTGATAAATTCATAGCTCTGCCCGTCAGGCAGTAAGACCTCGTGCAAAATCACCAGAACCACCTGATTCTGCAGCTGTTTTGAGTTCAAAATCAAGGTATGTATCAGGAAATTGTGCAAAACAACTTTTCTTTGTTTAATGTAAATTAGTGTGAATATATTAGCATCTTGTAATTGAATTCTGAAGAGTCACAAAACTTTTAAAATTGTATTTTCAAATCCAGATCTTCTCTCTCAATTGGTTGACAGTTTTTCATTTATTTGAAAGGAATTATCCTTTAAATTCATTGATCATTAATGTAACACAAAAATTCTAGCACTGCAGTTTTGTTTTTGTTTTTGTGTTAATTTTTATTTTTTAATTTTGTGGCTATTTTGTGGTTTACTTTCAAGGTGCTGATATTGAATGAAACATTTGTGGAGATGAATGAAGGTTATTAAATAATTTTTATTTTTTATTGTTATTACTTTTCATCCAGCTTTCTCTTTAGTTCCTTTTGTCCTTAAATCTTTTATTCTTTCATTTTGATACTTTTTCTATTTCATCATCTGCACAGTCTTCAATTGCTAGAGAAGATTCATGTGGAGTTATAAGCTACAGTCACATTTCATTCGCATAATGTGTTATGTGTATGTATGTGCATGTGTATACAGAATGCAGAAAAACAGTGTTCTCAAACTGCAGATGGCGGTAGGACTAACACAATCCCTTTGAGACTAGGACCATGGGACTACGATACAACAATATGGCCCTACATTAGGGATGGACTTGTGAACTTCTTACTCATGGCTATTGGAGCCTCACAGGCAGGTAACGTGCACCAAGTTCCTTTGCCTTGCACTAGGTTGTGCATTCATCGTTTTAAACGATACTTGAACTGGCACGAAGAAAAATAATAAATGTCCAGAATCAAACAAATCTGCTTATTTCAACTTTGATACATCATATAATAGTTGAATTCATGTGCCTGTCATGACTTTTCAATACAAAACTACAGGGCTGTCATAAGTAATGCATAAATATTAAACTGTCATTAATGTTATATTCCTTAGTGGTCTAAAGTTTGATTATTTTTTCTTTACAAAAATAGTAGTTCTCCACTATAGTGGATCTTTAGGAAAACTGAATATTATAATTCTTGGGAGGTTATTTATAAAAGATCAGATTATAAATTTACCATATTATAAACGTATTTGTAGTATTGTTTGATTTACTTGTATTTAATGAAATAACTGTTCGTTTATCTTACTTAGGGCAGCATATTTTGTTTCTGCTGTATCCAGTTGAATTAGTATGAGATCATCTTATTCATTAACTCTGATCTCTGAAACCTCAATAAGTGGAGTTTTTGTACATCGGTCCTCTATTTTCCTCCTCTCCTTCAATTTTCAAACATGTGTACATATAATAACATTCATGCTTAGAATGGAAGTCAAGAACATTTCGATTATAGTTTTAGAAATTAAATCTCAGGTTACTGTTGTTAATATTTCCATTAGTAGTATGTATTTCTCTTGGTTTTACTGTTATTTGTATATGTTGTGTTGCACTATATGTCTCCTATTCAAGCATTTCAATGCCCAAATGTTCGTATCAAACTCGGTGGTTTGTTGTGTTCTTAATTACATAATTCATTTATCATTCATTCTAGAAACTGATTTTGTTATTAATTAATTTTGTTTGTGATGTGTCCTCTTAATAAACATTTAAAGGCATACTTAAGAAAACCCCACATTTCTATCTACAAATCCCACCAGACATTGTCTAAGCTATATTTGACTGAAACCATTTAAATTTTGTTGATCAGATCAAAAATTTCATCATTCATCAGGATTCCTATAGATTTAATTGTCAGAAAATGTAATTGAGTATGGTGGTGTAAAGCTTGCTATGACAAGGCATGTTCATTGACGTCTCATTAAAAAATTTATGTAAGACTCATTGAGACTTCACCGGCCATTTGTTTATGAATATTTCATTTTTTGTCCTAATATCAGTTCTTGTCTTCACTGTCAGGGTGCTGTGAAAATAATGCTATTTTATTTTTATCCAATAAAAAACCGTTTTACACCTGATTCAGTTGCAAAAGTCATCATTCAATTTTGGGCCAGGTGGCAACTTTTGTAGTCTCATGGTTCTTGTTAATTATGGATCAGTTAAGTTCCTCTTACACCCCTGGGAAAATTGTTTTTCTGCATCCTCTGTCTGTGCACAGAAATCTCCTTGTAAACAAACATACATGTACTGAATACTGTATTATAAGAGTGTCATCTTTAACTGTCTTGGTGAAAGGTTATTGTGGTTGTGGTGTTCATGAACATATAAATTCCACTTAAATTATATATGAGATGAAGATGCACTTTGTTTGTGTTCTGCAACAAACATGCCATCAAGTATTCTATAAACATGGCTTAGTTCTATTTTTGTATCCATAATTAATTGTCATACCAACTGTGAAAACCTTTTGTGGAACAGGCTTCTAGGAATGAGATGTAATATTGTCAATATTAAATTCCATGATATTTTTGACAATTCATTTTCTTTTAATTTTAGCAAATGTTATTTCTTTAGCTTCATTTATAGTGTGAAATTGTAAATTCATCTTAATGATTTGTGGTATAGCTGATTATGACAAACAAATGTGTTTGCCTTTGACCAGTGTGCAAATGATGGCTTTACCATGAAACAAGTCATTCAGTTGAATTTGATGAAAATGTATAGTTTATTGAAGGTGAATAGGTCTTCAAGGTTCAGAAACGTGTAAATGAAAAATTACTTCAAAAAGAATTGACAATTTCTTGTGATTTACTTGATAGCCATGTAAATTTGTGCAATGTAGAAAGTAATAGCAAAACTCCTATTAGATGTTATTTGTTGAATCATTGAATACATCTGTCAAAATATGAATAATTGTAGGTTATAAATAAGTGTGCTTGTGTGTGTGTGTATGTGTTTGTAGAAGAATGGAAATACAGCTGCTTGTAGTGTTGTATGCATGTAGGTGCCACAAATTTATTTATCATTAATGTACATTTATAAATAAATGTATTGTAATAAGTTAATTGATTTCAATATTACATTAACTTTGGTTTTGTCTAGAAGGGCCAGAATAATTAAAACATTCATAAATGTATTCAAGAGCACTTTTTGTGTTCACTGTAAATATTTGGTTTAAAAACTACTTGCATTTGTATTGATTATTTGCATGAAAAACTTGGCAAAAATACTTAATGTAGAAAATTAGTCATCTGGTCAGTGTAATGCAATTATATTCAGCACTCAAGTGTATAGTAAATATTAATGTAAAAAGTAATAATATTAATAATAACAACAATTATGTTACTCTATTCAAGAAATAATTTTCACTTACTGTAAACTAGTCAGGAATGTGTACGTTTGTATTGGGGCATTTGTGTGTATGTTGACTGTGCGAATGGCAGAAGTAGGACTGGACTCTGTTTATTGCATAAACAAGGCGTTTGTGAATAAACTTAACTTTGCGAAGCAAGTTATGGAGGGTGCAGTCACACTGATCATTTTGGTGAGGTGAAAATGATTCAGGCTTGAAGAAAAATCAAAGAATTAAGAGACATGATGGATATTGGAATAACATTCTCGTGCAAATATCAGAAGTTAGCTAGGCATCTTCTACTTTTCAAACGAGAATGTGACTGAACTTAGGCCATTTTTTAAATAATGTGGAAGTACAACTGCAAGAAGCAGCTGTTGGAAATTTTATCAGACATTATTATTGAGTTGCCTTCGCTACAGGCTGTGTTTTGCTTTCATATCCTTTAACTTGCTTCAAATATTGTAGGATGTACATTTAAAAATGATCAGTGAGATGCTGCCCTCATATTCTCATCCTCTTTGCTTCACAAGGTTTATTCATGCACAAGTCTGTATGTTTTTTGTTTGTTTTTTTTAAAAAATTTAACTTTTAGGTTTGAAACTGTATTTGTAGATTTATAGATATAACTATTAAATCTTCACTTCCATTTTCAAATGCTAATATTGTCAAAAAGATATGACATACAATTCTGTTATTCTGCAGGTATTATGATGATCGCTACCGTGAGCGTGACCGAGAAAGAGAGCGTGAGAGAGAGGGCAGTCGCCGAGAACCTGAAAGAGAGAGGGAGAGAGAAAGAGAGAGGGAACGCAGAGAAGAAAGGGAATCTTCTCATCGTAGTTCCCGACATTGATAAGCAGATATTTTTTCTGAAAGTTTTTTTTAAAAACTCCCTTTGTCTGTCCCTTGCTAATGTCATCTGGTATTTTGGCAAATAATTTTATGTTCATTCCTTCACAAACTGGTACAAAGTGGTAATAACCATTTTCCTAGGTCTCATTAAACATTTGTGTGGGAGCATATTTTGTACAAGTAGTCCCGTGTTTTAAATCAAGAATATTTCCTTTGTGTAATCTGTGTGACATTTTAGTGAATGTCTATGAGAATAGGTGTTTTGGAGAAATATGTATCTATGTGATTTCATCAGCTGAAGATTGTAATGTGGGTTCAAAACTAATGTATTAGAAAAGACTGTATTAGTTTACTTTTGCTTTTATTATTAGAAAGAGAGTAGTGTCTGAAGTTTTTGTGTGCATTATGCTCTACCATGGATTAAACTTCTGAATCAAGAAGATTTAAGAGGAAACTAATACATTGACAGAAGATTGAAGATGGTGCAAGAGGACAGGACTTGAAATGAATCTTCGTTTGAAGATATCCTCTGTTTTTTAGTGTAAAGTGTGTTGTCATGACAACTGTCGATGCTATTAGCTTGCAATGTTTTAAAATAGCTCATGGCCAGAAGCATGATTTTTGTAGATTAATGTCAAAGTATTTTGTATCATACTCTTTCAACAAGCACATTAACTTTGCAATGCCAAAACTTTTCAGTTCTTTTCTTCTCGGAATCAGAATAAGTAATTGATAAACTTCTGATCCTAACTTGCAAACAAACCTTTGAAAGGTTGGTGAGAGTTATCAGTTGGATTAAATGGAAGTTCTGCAATTTATTTCTGTTGCATGTTGACCCACAGGCAGAACTTTGAAAATTGTATGACTAACAAATATGTTCTAAATGTTTGTCACTTCATTATGTACAGATACAACATTGGTGTGTTCAATTTTGAGTTGCTTCTTGTAAATACTATTTGACTGGCCATTCATAATATTATTTTCTGGTTTTGGTTAAGATAATTTGCATTTCTTGTGGTGAAATTTGTTGATTTCACTGCAGTTGATTAATGCAGAAATAGGTTTGACATGAATTTAAAAAGTATACTTCAAGAAAAAAATAGACTTCTATTTTCTGTCTTAATTTGTCATCATTTAAAGACTAATGTATTAGCTGGTTTTAGAAGCAGTTGATCAATATTTTCAATTTATTCCAAATGAAGAATTTGATGTGCATTAAATTTAATACAAAAATATTGTATTCTTCGCTGTAATGTCAATATTGTATTGTACTTATTAAAATATGAAATGAATAATGTAGTCATTTCCATGAATGTAGTATATAGAATGTATAATTTGTCCATTGGGTTATGTTCAGTTTTCAGTTAATTTGTTCAGTGCATTCTCATGTTTTGGATATTATGATTTATCTTGTGAAACAAAGAAGTGTACATGCTTTGGTGCTGCTCAACTTAAAATGCCTTTTCATATTTTACTTTTAAAATAATTACAGTCACTTCTGTAAAGTGTTTGTCTGAAACCTAAATTTTTTGTTATTTGTTTTTTAACATTGTTAATGTCTTGTGAGAAAGAAATTTTGATGCTTTGGATCTTCTCAAACTGAATGATATTAAGAGATTTTTTATGCCACAGAGATATACCAAAATTGCATCAAATATTAAAAAAAAAATTATTTGATAAGTGCTTTAAACAATGTAAATTTATGGTAATATTCAGTTTTGTGAATAGAAGTTCAATAGTAAGTTTTCATCATTTTCATGAAAAGAAAACAATGCAGTTTTGACATTTCAAAGACCTTAAATTTAACTTCAGGAGAAAGTCAAGAATTAGAACACTTTTTTTTATAGCAAACTGCTTGTTACCAAAAGTGGAATGCTACCTGAATTGCTCTGAATTCATTAATGCAGCAAGTTAAGAAAAATGAAATCAAGATATTAGAAGCTCCAGCTGTAAATACAATGTTCATCTTGATTTCATATATTCTCACTAGGTACTATGGTAAACTGTTCCTTAAGTACCTTTTCAACGATTGCAGTTTCACTACATATGTGAGTTTGAGGAACCAGTTTTCTCACTCAGGTCTGAATTTGGCTGAAGTTGCAAAATTGTCTACTTAAAATTATTGAATTATCATTTTGTTTGGAAATGACTGAGCAAATTGAACAGGTTAGTACAGAAATCCTAATCATCCTAAAGATTTTTTTATATTGAAATATCATCAGCCTGTTATACGCTTGTACAAGCCTACTCAGCCATATGAGGGACACAACTCAGGTAATGTTAGTTATTAAGCTTTTGATGTATTGCATGCAGACGCAGCAGTTTGCTGCTGTTTTTCTTCTTATTTATTTATATTTTTTAACAACACTGCTGGCATCACATCAAAGATATTTTTATATTGTACTTTTTGTAATCTATTTGTCTCTAAGAGAGAGCATAATCTGTAAGGGACCTGATCTGTTTGTTAACAAACAGATAATTGTATAAATTATCATTATTTTTGTATTATTTGGTAATTATAGGGCAACTACATTCCACTTTTGCTCATTAGTGTTACACAGACTATATTGTGTAAAGGGAATATAGTTTTGGAACCTCAAGAACCTTATGAAAGACTGGATATGTGAACTAATTTGTTTTTTCTTTTTAATCTTTGAAAGTATTATTGAATTAGACACTGATATTTAAAGCAGTTATAAATTGAATATCACTTACTACCTGCTCATCTAAATATATCTGCTGCAATGCATGTTGCTAGCATTGGTGTTTAATCTGTTATATAGAGCATGCTATGTATTTATGTACAAGTCAAGTTCTGGGCAAGTCAGGGAATTCCAAATTTCTAGTCAACATTAATTATATTTTATGTGAGATGCACATTATTAGATTAGCAATGATGTGTAAAAATAATTTTCAACTTCAATAGATACTACTTTTTTCAGTTGATAATGTGACATTGTATGATAATTATGTTTGTCACAAGTGATGGACTGTTTTCAATATGAAAAGTCTACAATTTGCTCACAGAGAACTATTTACCTCTGAAACAATTTGTGCATATTGTTTATTACATTTTAATGTATGCTTTATCATATGTAATCTTGAGTTTTACACATGGCTGGCCCTTGTGTGTACTTGTCTGTCCTAAAATCATTCATTCTGTATTGTATTGTACATATTTTGCTTTCATCAAAATTTTGCTATTTGCAATCTACATATAAAGATGTATCTATTAAAGTGTGTAGGGTTCTGTTGTTCACTCAGAACTTTATTTAAAATTCTTAGTTGGTACAATGTAACCTTGATAAAATAGTAGAGTGCTGCTATTGCATTGCACTTCAAATTATTTTTAATAATCGTTATTTCTCAATCAAATTCAAATATTACATGTATAATGTACTATAATTTCAAACAGTGGTAGGGTGGAATATTGATTTTTTCCATGCTATAAGAAAATGTTAATTTTTTGTGGAAGGGGGGAGAATTGAGTACATTTTTTTTATTGGAAACTTATTGCATTACTGTTTCAAATAAGGACATCAGTTATATCATATTTCTGAAAATTCAGTGTGTAGAAAAGCTGTCCATTTCACATTTGTGTTTTGAATTTGTTAATTACTTAAGTTCAAGTTTAAATTTACAACATGAAAGTGTTATTTATATTAATTGCATCATTAAATTTGGAAGCTTCTAAAAATGTTGAATTATAAAAGGCATAGACTATGTATGAGATCGATTGCCTTGCATTATGGCACTATCTCATTTGCATTTCGACAGCCTCTCCTCTTCGAATTCTTCCTTTATGTGTTTGTGTATGTTAGTATTATTTAAAACCTTTGCATTGGGAGATCAAGTAGGCATTTTTTAAGTTTTTTGATATGTGTGTTGTGAAGAATTAGGACTAGTGGTGACTTAAATTCATAATTTTACAGTGAAATGTATTTAAATATTTCTGTTTACTGAACCAATGCAGAATTTGTGCGTTTAAGGTACACTTTCTTGTGCAGGTAGCCTGCATCTTATGTATCTCAATTTTATTTTTTTTAATGCACTGTCTGCGTTTTAAATATGAAATTATTTTTTAAATATTTAACCTTATGTATAAATGCACACTAGTTTACATAAACTTTAAAGTATTGCTAATTTTGCATGAAAACACTGGTCATTGATAAGAAGTAAAATTACAGTTAATATATGAAAAAAATCACAGTAAGTATGTCAGAATTATTGTTGGCATTGATTTAAAATATTTTTAATGAGGTGACCAAGTTAATCAAATTTACGAAAATCATGCAGAGATCGTTATGTAAATTGTAAAATCTCTTTATTTCTAATTGTGTAATAACTTTATTGGTTGCATGTATGTGCGCATTGAAACAGCTGCTATAATCATTGTGGTCTTTCACTTTTTGTTTTTTAAAATTTTTTTTGGTTGTATTTTGTAATCATCTGTGAAGCATTGTGTATTTGGTTAAAACACAACTCCAATTCTAATGTAAATTTTACCAATGTAGGTGAACTATTTACTGTGGATATTTTTAATTGAATAGTGTCCAGAGATGGAAATGTTAGGTGACAGAATTGTTTGTAATATCAAATATAACATGCAAAACTGTAAAATGTGACTCTTGAACTATGATGAAGCAAGTATTAAAAGTTATAAATTCTAACTTTGATAGAGAAACAGCTAATTTTTTTTTTTTTTCTTTACATCAATGTGATACTTTTTGTAATTTTTTGTTTAATTGGGTTTAATTGGGACATTGAATACATTACTACAACAATGTGTTAAGGACCAAGTGTAGGTGGCAAGAACCATTGATTTATTTTCTGTTACAGGAATGTGGCGGTATGCAGCAAATTACTCTGGTGAGTTTATGGACTTGTATTCCTTTTCAAATAATTAATTGGAAGTACCTAGGTACTAGGGAGTTGAATACAATAAACTTGTCCTGAGTTGGTGAAAGCGGTGTTGGACCTTATGCATGTTTAGGTGATAACAAAGAGCATGCTGTGTGCTGCAGGCTATTTTTATCAGGTTTGTGTTGCCTAATAGTCTAATGCAGACATGAGTGCTTCTGTGTGTAAGTGAAACTGGTAAGTCCTGCTTGACAGTGCTGTATTTTAGCATTAATTATAAAGTTTTGTACTTTTTCATTTAAATATAAGAAAATCTGAAAACCCAAAAACAATTCATTTATGAAACCCCCAGAAAAATAAAACCCAATATGAACAAAACATTTATTGAAATCACAGGGTCTTAATACAAAGTTATGAAATGGCTGTACATAATATTAAATGGACAACAGGTATGCAATACAAGAGACAAAAAGTTTACATGTTCTTGAATTCTTCACCAGTGCTATTTAACATCAATATATTAGGATTTTCCCTCTCAAAATCGGTCATCTCATGTTCACGTTCATCCTTCCCCCATTCCCCCAGAGTCTTCATTACATCTGGCTGGTTCCGCAGCTGTTCTTCCTCCTTCTGCAATGGATACACACATCCCAATACCTTGTACATTATCTAGCACTAGATATTGCTAAATACAACCTCACTTGCTCTTACAGTAAACTTAATTTTTCCAACACAAATTCAAAACATTTTATATCACATGCAATTTAAAAACAAAGTACACATGCTCACTTTACTAAGGAATACAAAGAAAATAATACTTTTTAAAATGAAAATTGAACAAATTCCTCAAATCCATATGTGATAAAATTAATTTGTACTGGTATTTTTAAAGTCTTTTAAAAATACATGGTATCATTTCACAACTTCGATGATTCTCCAAGGGTGCCTATGGATTCAGCAGCTTTGTCTTCAACCTTGCTTTCAGAAGTCTGGGGTGTATTTGTATTATTTCTATCATTTTCTGAAGATTTATTATTGCTATCCCCAGTTCCAGGTCTTTTAATATTGAGAACCTTTTTCTTTTTTTCTATTTTTGGAACAAGGTCATCGTCCTTCTCAGTTACAACCTTATCCCCATCCCACCAGCCATTCACCAAGTTACTGCGCTCCTGATAAAATGAAAATTTTTTATAAGCTGGATTCTAATGAAGATGTATTGACAAATGTCATTTGTGTATGTTAATCCCACAAATATAATGGTTATGGGGTGTTGGTAGTTATGTCATACTCTTTTGCTACAGTCAACACAAAGTGAATTGACCTTTTATTATTATCAGTAACTGAATAATTTAGAGACAGACAGACTCTTCCATGGTGACTGCATGCAGTTAGTGAACTACAGCAGGTCATTCAAAATCAATGGTCACAGCAGCTGTAATTCACTAGACTGACAATGTATTATTACATTTTGTTTATACAAAAGAGTTAATTGGTTTGACATGCAACTCCAAGGTTATCACCACATTCTTTCACTGCAACTTTTAATGAAGTGTAAAACTGCTTAACTTCAGCACAAGTTTAGGATTTCCCTTGGTTTTATGAGATTCATTTTTTTCCATTCCTAACATTCAACAAAAAATTATGTTAGGTACATGCTGAAACATTCACACAGAACTTGAGGAACATTGATAAGTGTACTTCAAAAAATTAAGAATTCTGTTTAAAAATCAAATGATACAATTATGAATTAAGGTAATACTGCAGCAAAAGAGCAAATAATACTTTTACTACATGGAAGCAACTATGTGGCCATGCAACAGAATGAGGGGTTGTCAGTTTTTTTTAAGACAAGTGAAGCGGTATCATGCAATCATTGCACCGTACTATGTACTAATCTAATGTTACTACCAATACCTCATAACTTGAAGGCAATAAGTAAATTAATCTGTCAATCGTTTAACTACTGGAAATTGAAATAAAACGCTAGGAAAGTTTCATTTCAACATACCTACCGCTTTGTCTTGCTTTGCAAACTTCTCAAACATGTTGGCATAAATCATTTTTTCTCTTCCTTTCTGTTCTCGCAATTTGTTGTTGCACATAACAACATGACTAGCAGCAGCTTTGTTAGAAGGCTCAAGTTTTAAAACCATCTCAAAATCTACCTTTGCTCTCTCCGGCTCACCCATTGCTAGATAGGCCTAAAAAATTGTTATGATTATAAAAGGTTTCTCAGTAGAAACTGCAGAAACTAATATATAGTCTGTTACCTGGCCTCTACGAAAAAGTCCTTTTAAGTTTGTAGGTTCTAGATCTAAAGCTTTGTCACAATTGTCTCTTGCTTCTATGTGTTCATCAAGCTTCAAATAACACATCGCAAGATTTAAATGCCCTGCTAGAAGTAAGGACTTCCGTTGAACATCTTTTTCTCCTTCAAACCCTATTAAAATACAAAATGTTGTAACAGGAGCACTTGCAAAAGTGTATATCTCAAATTTTTGATCTCAATTCCAGATAGTAAGCACAATTGGGAGACGGGGACTTTTAAAATGAAAATACCTTAAACCAAAACCACCACCTACATCACTAAAAATATTTAAATACACCAAAAGTATGAGACTGATATAAGATAAACAACAATGTAATTAAAGTACAGCATTAATACTTTACAGCTTACTTTACAGGTGACAATTTTTCCTGCAATATAACATGAGATGTAGAGGTGCTAAATTTGTTTGGTATAATTTTACTTCTTGGAATTGAAAATAAAAACTTCAAAAATATAAATATAGGTAAGGCAAGTGTATTAATCAAACCAAAGTTAATTTTGAAACATATGTTCACTAATTCACACTTGTGTTTACAAAGAACGAGGGGCCATCAGTGTTTTCTGCTACCAAACAGTCAAAACATCAGATGTGCACAGATGCAAATAGCATTAGCTTTGGGCAACAGAACAAGGGGATTTTTATGACCTACATAATAAAAACAGAGAAACACAGCTGTTACGCTTGTCTCTTCTCTTAAGATCGGTTACTCAGTCTACAATCCATCATTAACATTATAAAAAACACAATACCTGATTCAAATTCCATGAAGGTTATGATATTTTTGTACATTTTAGCTGCTAGTGTGTATTTGCCAGCTTTAAAATAATTAGTCCCCTTTTCTTTGAAAAATTTTGCTTGCTCCAATTTACCATCAGTATCAAGGGACCAAGATTCTTTTGCCTGTAATACCAAAATGTTTTAATAAATATTAAATAATAGTAATACAGGACAAGTTACTACTTTTGTGTAATAATAACTCACTTTTTCAAAATTTATTAAATGCACTACATATTCAATGTCAGCATTTGAAGGAATGTTAAACTCTGGTTTGCCGTCTTTCTTAAATGCATACTTGGATTTCAATAAGATTCTGGACTTTTCACCTTTTTTGAACTTCTCTAAAGCCCTTTCTAGCCCTTCACATACTCCATATTCACTTCCTTCTCCAAGTGGAAAAATTACATCTCTGTCTTCAAACACGTTATCTTGATATTTCCCAGTTAAATGGACTATGTAAAATGAAATAAAAACATACATTTACAAAGTTACCTTAAATCACATACATTAGAGATTTTTTATTTAAAAAGTACAAATACCTTCTACAGCTGCTCCATCATTTGGGGTAGCATAACCTTCCCCAGCCTCTATTTGGTACCTTAAAATACCACCATCCTTTTTTTGAGATAAGTCCTCTCCTTGCCAGTCAAGTACTTCAATCTACGCCATAAATTGAAAAAGCCTTTAATTTGTTTGGACAAAAGAAACACTTCCTGGGTTAATTAACTCAAAAAAAAGAAAAGAAAAAAAAACTGACCTACCTCGAAGATTAGAGTTGCATTTGGTGGAATTTTAGGAGGGCTCCCAGTTTCTCCATATGCATATTCTGACTTGCAAGAAAAAACTGCAAGTTCTCCTTTTTTCATAGTAGCAACACCAATATCCCATGCTTTAATAACACTGCCTGTTGCCCAAAGTAAACATTTTGTAAGTTAATGAGCCACAATTGCTGCACGTACATCAAACCATACCAGATATTACCTTTTCCAATGTTGAATTCAAAAGGTGTCCCTCTATCCCTACTGGAATCAAATTTGGTACCATCAGTTAAAGTACCAACATAATGTACAAATACTTTACTTCCAGGTTGGGGAGTTTCTGAGCCCTCTCCTTCTCTCAACACTTCTTTCAATACCCCACTATCTTTACTTGGAGAAATGTCTATTGCGTTTGGTCCAGGCACATAAGGTGTTGATTTGGTTACCTCTTCTACAGTACTATCTGCCTTCTCCACAGTCATTGTATCTGAAATTTTGGAGGTTGGTCGTTTAAGTAGATGTTAATGGAACATGCAATTCTTATGTCACATTAAAATACTGCCTTCAGAAAGTAGCAAAGTGAACTTACTTGATTGGTTCTTGAATATTGCACCAAAACCACTACTGTAAATTTTTTTGAAAACTATTGTACGACCCCGTTAGGGAAATAACCGAAAAATTCAACAAATAGTTAAATAATGTCCTATGCAAATAATTAATTAAAAGTTACTGCAAAATCAATGAAATGATAAAACACTCGTTGGATGACGAATGGCAATCTTACTTAAATACAATTGTTTTCAACTTTTCTCCGCCTACGCTACTCAGCGGAACCGCGCAACGTGTGAGGCGTAGCGAAGCGAACTACTTCACAACACAACTCGTGAGATCCGCGCCTTGGTCTGTATTTGCCCCACACCAAACCGCACGTTCCGAAACCTTCCAGAAATTTCGCGTCAAACTTGGATCAAGTTGACCAACAAACTAACAATAGATATCTAAGAATACTTAACTTGAAATTGCGCAAGCTGGAATTTGTGTTGTTTAGAATTTCGACAGTGGGCATTTTTATAAGTATTTTTGCGTACGTAGTAGCTTTCTTCATTTTCTGTCCGTTTTTTTATAAGCCCGTAAACTGTAATGTATGTTCCGTATGCTTTCGTGTGAGTTGGATAGTCTGTCGAAGTCTGTTCGATATTCGCCGCCGACTAACAGCAAGCGGGCGAAAGGGAGAAGCTGGCGAGAAAGGCAATAGGAAGCAAGAAAAATTACAAGAGTGGAACATGCGAATTTTTGTTCTTGTACATTAAAGATTATCATGCTTTCTTTACTGTAATACCTTATCTACATTTTCATGTAATTTGATCGAAATGTTCGTTACATTTTCTTAGCATGGTACTTATAATTACTTGATCTGATGAGTAAAGCTAAGTATGTAATACGACGTAATACAATTTAATTTATGCTTGGTTATCCCACAGTACGTGTTTCTGAGGAAAATTACGGAATTAAAAAAAAATCATCACATTCTGATTCATTTCGGTTAATGTGCTGAGAGCCTGGGCAATTTTTGGGCGGCAGGCGATAAAATCGCAGGTATTGGTCCAGTGTTGGTTTCAAGTCAGTGACCTTGTTCGTCAACTTTCTTATCTGTCCTTGGGAGTGGGACAAAAGAGGTTATCGTTTTCTTAGATATTTATGTAGCTGGATGTGGACAAAACTGGAATATATTACCAATAGTTAGATAGAATTTGTGATCAGTTTTTAAAGTGTTCATGCCTTTCTGCTGTGAAATTATTTTGTTCTACTTTTTAGGAATGTAATGGAAGTACATTATTAATATTACTATTAATTTTTGTTTTTATGCTAATTTATAAAAAAAAACTGCCTTATTGTGAAATAGCTTTGAAAATGGCTGTTAAAAATCTAGCTCACATTCTGAAGCAGACATTTAATGTGACAAGATGTAATCTAAAGAACACACAACACACAACATTGAGATGTATGCATCATCTGGCATTATTTTGTTTTGTAACATTTAATGAGATCATTGTTTTTCATTTAGATTTCTTAATTATCAGGTAAAAGTGTAGCTGCAGATACAGTTCAGAGCCAATGTACACCAATTGCTGTTACTGCAATTCCTGCATCACATCAGACTGTCAGAGTTATATTTAACAACCATAAAACTGCTGATTTTAAGACTATATGGGTAAGCTTTAAGATAACTGCTTCAAACTGCTGATTTTGAGTCTTAAGTGGGTAAATTTTAACTGCTTTTCCTTTCCTTCTGAGTATAAAAGCATGCAAGCCGAAGGTTGTTCCCAAATGGGAAAATCAATGACTATTGTCTCCATCATGTAACTGCTCTCCTCAACAAATAGCATCCAATTTTGAGAAGTTGCATTGTTTTTTTTACTTCAAGACAATTACTATAGTTGAGGAGAATAACTAGGGTTTAGTGTTCAGCAAATTCTTGTTTCAGTTAAGGGACAACTGCAAGTGTTCTGTTTGTGTTCATGAGGAGACTCGTCAGAAAATGTTAGATTCTCCCTCATTGGATGTGGCAATTAAACCTAAGTCATTGACAGTGACAAACAATGGAAATCTGGTCATTACTTGGCATGAAAATGGGCAAGACCATGTTTCCACATTTGATTCTAGTTGGTATGCATCGTTTCATGTGGCAACCACAAATATTAAATGTTAGAAATCCTGTATTTTCCTATGTTATTTTGAGATGTCTCACAAAATTATTAATACTTTAAGAGATATATAAACATGCAATTAGTAAAAGTAAAATTGTTAAAAAGAACAGAATATAAGTATTTATTGCTTTTGCTGTATTCCACAGGCTTTATCGATATGGCCAGAGTTTTATTCATGAAAACTTTGAGTCTGAAGGTAATGATGATCATCCAAAACGCCTCCCAGTTGTTCTTTGGGATAGAACTGAAATATGGAAATCTTTACCAGAAATTTCATATAATGAAGTCATGGGCAGTGATGAAGGACTGAAACAATGGCTTGGAATGTTCTATCAGTATGGTATTGCAATAATGAGAAATGTTCCACCTGTTCAGGTATTTAATTTATTATTTTATTTATTTATTGAACATAAAAAAAAATTAAAAACTGAATGGGATGTATTGTGGTGAAGTGCATTCTGTGCACATTTTCATGTGCTCCAGAACATACGCAACTTTTTACTATTCTGATTTGAATAATGAATAAAGGCAGCGACAAGGGTTTGCAAAATTTGATGCCAATAAATATTTGCTCCTCTGTAATAAAACTATTTTCATTGGCAAATGAGACCTTATCATCACTTGTGCTCAACTCTTCCATGAGATTATGGATGATTTGAAGGTACTGCTGGCAAAGTAACTAAATTTCTCCTCAGCCGATGCAGTCACAAACCCCCTCAGAACTCAAGAAAACAAGAAGAGATAGTGAAACTGCATTTATTGTCAGATGCAAAGGAGAAGCCTCTGCCAATAGTTCACGGATAGTGGATGAAAAACCTGAGTGACATACAGGTTATTCTCCCTAAAGCTGATGTACGATATACTTGGTTCAGACATAAAGTTAGATTTACTCAGTAAACTTGGTAACTAATGCATTAATATCACAGGTCAAGTAAATATTACTTTTAGTTTTGATACACAATATAGTCTCTCAATATTGTATAGAAACAGTTCTGCAGGAGAAAAATTTGACATGTAGATTGTTGTATCAAAAAAAAATTAATTTTTAATTATGCAATACTTAAAGAATAATCAATATTTTTGGTTCAGTACAATTATAGTCAATACTTGATCTTGAGAAACAGTGACAAAGATATAATTGATGAGATGCAAGTTGGATAACAACTTGATATTGAGTTTATTGCACCAAGTACATTGTGGTTTTATTTTAAATTATAAGTAAAGGGAAAGTTTTGGGGAAAATTTTTCCACATCTTCAGGTTACTGTCAATAGCTTTGGGATGCTTAATGTAATGTTATTTTACAATAAATTTAACTTGTGTACAAATTGGGAGGTATGCAGAGTACAAGTATCTGGCACCTCATATGAGACGAAGATTGCATTTAAAATCCAAAGTCATCCTCAGTGAGACTTGATTAGAAAGGGATATTGAGCAAAAATCATTAAATTTTATCCTCTTTCTTTGTTTCGACTCAGACATTTCATATGTTCAGTGGGAATCATATTCTTCTTAATTGCTCAAATTCTAATGGCCATAAGTCACAGCAAAAAGTTACTATTTCACGTGAATACAGTTCAGAGCACCGACTTTATTGGGGAGATGTAACACGAAAGAGACATAACAAGAAACGAAATGCTAGCCTTAAACGAACACCTGTGACTACCAAGACCTCATCTGTCAACGCCTCCCCCAGCCTCCTCTTACCTGCTCCCCACCCAGTGGCGGCTGGTGTCCCAATCCCCAACACTGGAGGTTGCCCCTCCATCGTAGACGAAAATTTAATTTCGAGAATTCAAACCACGAATATATAATAAATACGCAATTCAAGTTAATTAAAACTAAGTGAAATAAATGTCTTTATTGAAACATTACCCCCATAATTTTTGTCCGGGTCAGATATAAACCTCTTCCGTGCCTGTGGTTGAGAGTTTGATTTCCACTGAGCGCTTGAAGTTCGACTCCAGCACATTGCAACAAGCACTATTGTTTGTATACGTTTTACATAAATGTAATTATTTTATTTTGAACATTTCACTACCCTGATGCATATTGAAATAATGAAAGATCCTTCCACACAAGCTCATAATCTTACTAGTGCTCTCCAGCCAAACTGCATTCTGCCGCTGCAGAAATATCCATCCACCGCCACAAGACAGAAAGGGACTTCCTTCCAGAATGCCCAACTTTATACAAGTAATTCATTAAGGGCACATATTGAATCAATAAACCTAATATCAAATGAAAACAAATTCTCTAATGAGAAATAATGCATCACATGCAATCAGTTATTGACTAAACTTGAGTACTTTAAATTACACGCGAAATTCATAAAATTAAGTTACAATATTAGACAAAGGTAGAAATTGGTATTTCCTTCGGGTCTCTGCGCAGCGCTAGGCAAAATTCCCCCTACCCATTTGTTGCGTCACCAAAGGCCCCGTATTAATGCGTGTTAAAACATAGGACCAAAGAGAAAAAATGCTTAGTATTGGCAACGAGTGATGAATCAACAATTCTTTCCTGCCTTTTCAACCGTTGGATCGTTTGACCAACGATTATTTTGTAGTTTGCCCTTCTCCCGTACACTAATTTTCCGCGTTAATGTGTCAATTTTTGAAAAGTACTTAGTCGTTATAATAAAGCTTTTATTTTATACTTTGGATTTGCCTTATGAAACTACTGTCTGAGAGTTCTTTTTCATTGTATATTGCCTCCGCATTTTCCCAGGTTTCCAATCGATAATTGGTACAGTTACACCGAGTGAATCGGACCATCGTTCATGTTGTTCTTCGATGTTACGTCTGCTCCGTAGTGCACTAGTGAATAGTGAATCAGCTTCGTGACATAAATCGTGATAGCAAAAGTCACGCCTCTATGAAGAATCATTCGTGCAACTTCCTTAAGTGTTGTATATTGAAGAATTACCTACAAATCATTGGTTCTGTTATCTAATGTACATTTAATATTTATAAACCACAAATTAATGCAGTGATGTCAAAGTAACAACTCACTTCATAAATATTCCATAACTAATTATACTTCTTCCATGCATTTATTAATTTAGAAGGGAACTTCGGATTAATTGAGCAGTTTGACATAAAATATGATATTATTGATGATTTAAATGATTAATAAAAACATTTTATGTTCGTCGCTTCCTAGGTGTAGTAAAAATTATTTGATTTATAAAATGTTAGTTAATTTATTCATTAATATCCATTTCTCGATTTTGAAAGAGCCGTTTCACCAATCACAACGAAGATACCGTCACAACTGGTGAACGATTTTAACGATTCAACCATGAGTGAACGATTCAGTGTGAAAAGGATGCCATCACCAAGAGAATGGCGCAATTCCTTGAAGGGCACCAGACGCCGGAGATAGCGCCAGTTGGGCGTTCTTTGGTTGCAAAGTGATTTCACGTACATCGATATTGCTGCAATATCGTGATTATTGAACGTCATTAAAACGAGAATGTGTATTCCTAACATATAAAATATTTCCCGATTACCTGGGGTTTGTGCTACCGTTCAACCTAAGCACAAGTCACCGCTCATCCTTCCTCATCCTCCCTCTTTCGTTTGCGGCGGGGAAGGAAGTCGCCGCCGTAAAGGCTCTCACAGACCGGCGCGGGAGATCCGCGGCCAACGCGGAATGTCCGCAGGGGAAGTTTCGCGTCCCGTGTTGCCTCAAGCACGTTCGGACCTGCTCGGCAGGCGAGCGTCGTGGCAGCCTTTTTCCTTTTTCCTCCGGATTTGGGAATGCACTCTGACGCGTTTCGACCGCTGCCGCTCGAGTTTCGTGGAAGTCCGCTTGCTTTCTGGAGTCTTCGCTCCCCTCTGGATCGATATCTCCTTGCCTTTGTTTATCAGAAGAGGAAGAGTGTCACCAAACGCTGAGTCCATAATTGACGGTCCCGCGGATTTCGCCGCGGCGTCTAGCGCGGAGCTTTCCGCGCCGATCTGAGAGCCATTTTCGCAACTTTGGGAAACAATACTTCATTCTCCCATATCAGTAAACCAATGAATCTGAGTTGACTTGTACTTTTTGCTCTAATAATTTGAACTAATATTAGTTTTACATTTATAAGTACACATTGGGTAAATTTCAGCAAAATAGTAATGCAGATTTTGTCATGGAATGGACAACCTTGCACAAAAAGGAAACTTCCCTAAACCGGAATTTTTTTGTATCACCAATCTATTCCGTCTTAGATTTGACTGTATTACAATTCATATATCAAAATAAACTAACCGGGCCATTCCCTAATATTACCGTGAAATTAAAAATTTCATTCACTTTGCCAGTTACAGAAGACACCGAAGAAGATAATTTTAAAAATTAAAAATTATGTCTAAAACCTTCTTGCGATCAACTATGTCACAAGAAATATTAACAGATTCAACAGATATATACTTTCTGAACAGATCTGGTAATGGTATGAATTGAAAGTGAAATTTGCAACAATATTTACTTAGTGATCATCATAAAAAAATGCAAATTTGAAAGTTCGCGGAATAACTTTTCAGGGAATACTATTTTAAAGAAATTATTGTTATATATTTATATATTATATAAGAGTTATATATTTATTAAATAATAAATGATATCTACGTAAAAAAAAACAAAAAAAAAAACAACACTTTTCGAACTTTCAAACTTGCAAATTTTGTATGATGATCTCTATTGTTATACTGATCGAGCGACGACAAAGCGAAGGGGAGGGAGAAATAAAATTGGAGTAGTTTGGTAACTTTCTTTTTGGTGCAGGGCCAACTAGTGGAGCTGGTAAAACATTTTGCTTACGTGAAAGAAACACAGTATGGTGTTACATTTGACGTCATGCATGAGCCAGATCCACAAGCACATCCAGCATTTAGTGGCTTGTATTTGCATCATCACACGGACATGAATTACAGGGAAAAAAGTCCCGGGATGCAACTTCTGCACTGTCTTAAGGTAGGTTTGTGTTTGCCACTTTATTTCGTCCAACACAAAACAGTGTTACGCAAATATTTGTTATTTTAGGCTACAGACCCCAAATCCTTGGGTTATGACCCCGGTGGAATGTCATTTTTTGTGGATGGTTTTCGCATTGCGAAATGGTTAGAAGATAATGAACCATCAGCTTTTCATATTCTGACATCGACTCCGGCCAGGTTTCAAATAAAGACCAAAGGAGTAAGTTATTGTTGGTAACCTTTATAGTGTTTACATCGTAACCACCATTGTTGTAAAATATCACATTGCTATTAATATATAGAATATAAACTAACATTTAAAATTGTTAAAATTTCATGATCATCCCGGACTCTTTAATCAATGGCGATAAAAATTATATTTTATTGTGGAGCAATGATTGTTCTGTAATTCTAATGAATAAGTTTTCCTTTTGTGGAATGTGATACAGAAACGATACTCACAATTGTGGCCAATCATAACATTGAACCAGGATGGAGATGTTTGTGAAATCCATTATAACAATCGAACCATGGGTCCTCTGCAAGCTCCTTCACATATTATTGTTCCATTTTATCATGCATACAAGGTAATACTTACAACGGTAACTCACAACTTCAATACAATTTTGGTCGTTTTACTGATAATGGATTTATTTGTAGTTATTTTCGGAAAAAATGCGGCACCCTTCTTCGGAGTTGAAGTTCCATATGGTACCTGGTGATCTTGTTGCATTTAATAACAGAAGAGTGCTTCATGGGCGAACAGCATTTGATCCTACTAAGGTTTCAAGGTAAAAAAAAAAGTTTGTTTTATTCATTTACTGACAGAAGAGACAATTTGTATGTTGAAATTTCGGTTAGAGACTGAAGGAAATCCTACCTAATTGCAATAGAAATGTACTTGTAATGTGTGTGAAAAATACCAGACAGCAAAACTTGTGATCTGAAGGCGATGCAAAATCACAAAAAGCATGCATCAAGTAATAGGATAATCTCTTTTTAATTTCTCGTAATTGCCTATGCAATATAGAGAAATAATTGAAATGCTGCGGTAAAACACGGCGCATGTTCGACAGGAAAACTCTTATTGCCGGGCCCTGTTATCGAAAAATAGACACATCTTACTCCTACATATAGTAAATTACTTCTATCACGTTATGTAGTCAGAATCCATGTTTGTTGGTCCTTGATACCGAAAACCAGATTGACGGCGAACTATGTGAACAACGTTAAACCATAAGCAGGACTTTTACCAAAATTGATATTCCCCAACCGATCTGGCTGTTGTCGTGACTCATTGAATTTGAAATCTATATTTTAATTTTTTTGGGGGGAGGGTACTTTACATTAAGCCCCTGAGAAAAACCCGATTTTTTATTAAATTTTGACCTCGGATAGCGTAAAGGATATTTAAGAGAATGTTTCAGATCTCATTTTCGTTGAAATCCTGATCTTTTTTTCGCAGTTTTCCTACAACTACAACTATGAAGATACTTTTGTTTCTCTTAAGAAAGTGTGTTCATTAAAAACCAGTCTTGAAATAAGAACGTGTTCATTTTTTCAAAATATGAGTTTTTTGTTGCATAGTTTTGCGTTATGGCCAATTTCGAAATTTTAGACATTTTCTTGGAAACGGACTTAATTTGTTTCTCTCTTGTGTGACAAAGAACGGCAAAGAAAGTGGTATTGGTCCCATTTTCTGCCCACTCTATTTTCTAACATTGAAACAAAATTGATATTGTAAATTCAAACGGCGAACCTTTGCCAATTCCCAAAATGGCGGTGGGAAATTCTTAGGATTTTTGTCATTGTTGCCTGCCGTATTAACCATATGCAGATAACATTCTTATGAAAGGAAATATGTTTAAGGAAGGAAATATATTTAATGTGGATCTAACAAATATATTTCTATTACTTTACGATTTGATCGCTGATTGTGATATTCGGAAATTGTTAGCTCGCTTCAATGTGATCAATGCATGATTGTGTGAAAAATTATTCTTACTTTTCTGTATAATGTGCTGCAACTTCTGTATTAGTATAATTTATTCATGGAATCGTAATGTGAACGAACTTGGCTGTCCGGGTGACGCCGCGTCGAAGGTTGTTCTGCTATTATAAAGGCGAATCTGTTGCTTTAATAATAATGTCGGTAACGTTATCAAAAAAGTATCCTTTTTTTAGACGACAGTACAATTTTCACTATATATGTATAATAAACTGCCAGAACTGTTGCAAATTCATATTGTTTTTCATATTATTCAATCAGATTAAATAGTGTAAAGTTGACGAAAAAATTAAAATAAAAAAAACACGTTTCTGGCAGTAGATGGGTGCGATGGAGGCAAACAAATCTTTATGTTTTGTTTATGTTAGAATTCTATTGTAACTACTCATATGCCATTTGGTTTAAGGGAACTTATTACTTTTTTACACAAGGGGACCATTTGCCTCCTTCCTTCCCAATAAAAGATCAGAAATCCTGCCTCTGCTCATGATTTCATGATTTTTTTGTATTTCATAATCGTTGCATCCAATATTTATAAAATATGCATTCTTCCTTTTATAGGCATCTTGTGGGCTGCTATGTGGACATTGATGAAACTTTTTCGCTGTATGATTCACTGCTTTCCAAATCACATCAGTAATGTTTAGCACTTTTTAGGCATATGTCTGTAAAGTTTGTGGCTGCATTACCCACTATATATACCTCTTTACCTGCTATATATATTCCTATTTTATATTGCTCTATGGTGAACGTTTACTCACTTTTTATATCTGGTATATTAAAGTATTATTTTTTGTATACTCCTCGCTAAGTATCCTAATTACTTCAATTTGGACATAATTCATATTACAAGAACAGAAGATCTAAGTAAAGAAATATTTTAAACTTGTTTCTGAACTATTATAATATGCTTGAATTTTATTGCCTCGATTATGTTTGAATGACTTTGCTGCACTGAATTTGTAGGAGTCTAGAATTAAAATCATCATTTCTTTTTTTAGAAAAGCAGGATATTGAAAAATGGATAAACTAAAATTCAGATTGGATGTAATCTGTTTTTAAAAGGTCTTTTATGTAGTGAATTTTAAACCTAGATTTGTTTCTCAGAGGTCTCTCCTCTCATTCACTTCTCACAATCTTGTTAACAGTAAAACATGAATCTCAAATATCAACTGATCCTCTTATGTTTTTAAAATATAGGAATATTTTACGAGCTTTTATGAAACCATTCTAAACATGCCCAATAATACGAGATATTTAGAAATTCTTTTGCTAATACTCATGGACGGGACTCTTCTGTGTCCGTAGTGACCAGGTGGCCCACTGCCTGGGTCGACTATCCCAGGCCCTTTTGTTTTTTCTGGGTGTTGCTGTTAACTTATGTCTAAATGAGTATAGTTGGTTCCACTAAGAAAGAGGTAGTTGTGGAGGGCTTACCACTTGCCTTCGTAAAGGTCCCCATGGAATTTAGACATTTTGGCCCACAAACATGCTCTATCAAGTTACCACATGTGTGATTAAGGGTAAAAAATTAATTAATTATGCAGAAAAAATGTTTGCCTTTTACATTTTTGTTGTCTTTTGTAACAATGAAGAGTTATTTTTTTCAAAACTTATGTGCTTCTCACAACATTTGCAAAACGTCAAATATCCATTGTTAAAAAATCACAGTTTAAATGTGCAGCTTAACAATGAAAGGAATTACAACTTCTGTCCTCGTTAGATATTAAGAATATGCTATGAATGCATAAATAGGTACATTTTAATGTTGACATAATATATCAAAATATACTGATAAAAAAGTACTTAACAACCTATATAAAAGCCTAAAATAGCCATATTTTAGGGGGAAAACCATATAAACATGCCTTATGCATGAAGTTTTCAAAATATCACAGAAACCAGTGACCTTGACAGAACTGTGTTAAATTTTTTAAAATAAAGGTGCCATAAAAAACACTATTACAAAGTTTGAGAGAGGTTGTAAGCTAGCATAAATACACGCATTTGCATGGAAATCTTGCCTGGTAATAATAGTAATTACAGCATCTTCATGCTATATGTATAGATAGAGAGCAATGTGTTTGCATATTTATGATTTACTTTAATGTTATTAACAGGTTGTGTATTGCAATAACATTTACTTTTGTTTTCTGTACATAAAAATGACAATTTCAAACAATGTTAATATTTTGCACTCGCATTAACATTTATGCCAAGGGTCTCGGAATAAATGTTACACACTATACCAGGGGTCGGAAATGGTAACTTTTTGCAAATGCTCATGCAGTGGGATATTCCATAAAACGGAGTTACATATGTTACAATTTCTCCAGATTTTTAGGCAACTGTTTATGCACAAGTATTCAGCCTGTCATATGATGCAAAAAGATTCCGTTTATCTGGCGTACATCTTTGCATACAGGTTGCCTAACTACGGGGGAAATGTTACATGTGTAAATGCGAATTACTCTGTTACATTCAATATCGCACTGTATGTTCATTGTCCAAAATTGACCATTTTCGGCCTCTCTACATACTTTAAATCAGGTTCCCAGCCTTTTCTAGACCCTATAGAAGCCCCCTGTAGAAGAAAAAAATTCCAACGTCCGTAATCTATACCAGTTAATTGTACATGAAATGTGAAATATTTTCCCAATATATCTTTTTATTTATCTATTAAAAAGTAGAAATTAATAAAATAACAACCATATCTAAAATAAATTATTATTTATACTTTTTTAAAATGAACATAAAATCAGTACGAAAATTATTTTAAAAATAATAATAATAAAAAAAACGAATTAGCTTAATTCTTGCCTTGTGGCATCGCCCGCCGAAATTGCCTCGACTGCTGCAGCCGATGTGTTCCGCACACGTGAGCAACAGTTGTTCGTTACATTTCATAAATATTTTTAAAATTGTAAATAAATATTTTTATAATATTCGGCTGCTGGATAGTTAGTTATGCCAGGTGGGTCGCGCCCCTCTTGACTGCCTTAACCGCCCACACCCTTCCATTTGTCTCTGGATCCACTATCGCCCCCCCCCCCCGTGGATGCTCCCAGCGCGCCACTCGAGATTTCCCATTGAGGATCGATGCTCCAGATGATTGTAAGGTTTATTCTGACTCGTCCTTCTCATATGGGCTGAGATAGCTTAGGGCAGCAGCTGTAATCACTGTGCCTTCCCTGGCCGCAAGTCCCTTTGATTTAGTTTTATTTTGCTAACAGGATTTTTATCGCAAGCATAGGCGAGCACACCTTGAAACAATGGTGTGGGGGGGAGAGGGAAACTACATGGCCGATCCACTTTCCCATGAAACTTTCTTTAATTTTCGTACGACATGTTACTAAATAAATAAAGCATACTACAAGAAAAATGAAATTGTAACTAAAGTTATATGAATGACAATGAAACAATTAATGTTCAAGGTATAATAAATATTATATTTTATGTAGAATTCTGAACAGACCAGAACCACATCCTCAAATGTCATATAATAAGTCGCTGAAATGGCCACCTCCCCGGGTAAACACACACTACACAAACGGGACTAATGGCCATAGCAGTAAACGCGCGCGGAAACTAATCACTCAATCTACAGCTCCCACTGCACTCCCTGCCCGCTGTTTTTTTTTCGGAAGGCTGAACTCTTAGCACTGATGGCCATTCTGACATGCCTTTTGCAGAGGCTCTACCATGATTTTGCCAGTATTCCACTACCAAATCTAAATTGTTTAGATTCGTATGTTTGCATTGTGAATGGGCCTTTTAGAACGCAGTGGGTTTAACTGAGAGCAGGGAGAGTCAGCCAAAACCGAACGTTTTAAGTCCCAATGAAGGAGAAGTGAGGGTGTTTCCTGTTTGTGACCTTTCCTACAGGCCAGTCGAGTGTTAGAGGGATGTTAATCAACTAGTATCACTATCAGCTGTCAGAAGCGCTAATAATTCCAATCTAATACACAAAACTGTGACTACTGCTGCTGCCCATTAGGCCTTAATGGAATTATGTTAGAAACCCTTTCAGAGTGCAAAGAATTGACTTCAGAAAAATTTAAACCAGAAAACATCACTTTACTGAGGCAAGCACAGCGAAAATATATTAGGGAAAACTTGATGAACTTCCTATGTTGGTAAAGATTGTTGACAAATGAGTGCAGTGCAGTAATCAAGTAACTTCTTGCCAAATATTCTTGAAGTATAAGGATTTTCCAAACATTTGTAATTAGTGTAATAACCATGTTTTTAGAAAATTGTTTTAAATAATTGTTACTCAATAATTCCGTTATATATTTGTATTTCAATTTATGTTGTATTATTTTCAATTTTAAATAAGGTGGCTGATTGTTATATTTTTTATATTGTCTAATATATTTTTTGAGTTTATTTTTTAATCATATATATTTGGGGAAAAAGTAAAACATTGAACCTCCTAATTATATCTGAAGATATTTTTAATGTTTTGTAAGATTTATATTAATGTATGTAAGACTTTCTTGGAAATACACTGTGATATTTATGTCTGTGTATTTTAATTATTGTACCCATTACTTTTTCCAACCACCAGCCGAATACATGTATGTGAAGTTCAATGGGGTGAGCAGGCCTAGTTTAAACATGGAACGGCCTCTTTGGAGCCTCGGCAATCAGAGGATCCCCGTACATTTCATAAAAAACGGGAAGAAACTCCCCAATTGTGTGTCACTAGTAGGCTACATCCGGCCCTTATTCGAATTTCGGGCAGAGATAATTACTGATAGGTCCTCCATCTTGGCCCCACTTTTGTGCAAGGTGCAGCAATCTACAGGCCGCCCTCGGCAATTCTTAAAAAAAACTCGAATGAGCTGCCATTTGGCAACAGTTTCCGGAGATTTTTCTGAACTCTCTCTATAAGTTTCGTATAATACTCCCAGGAACTCCCTCCCAAAAAAGAATTGAATCAAAATAACACAAGAAAAGTATTGGTAAAAGCTGTCAAATGCCTCATATTCTCTCATTCCCCTAAATTAAGATGGCTACACAAGAAAATCTCTTGCATCAAGAACGCTCTCGTGAAAGAGGTGAAAACAAGAGGGAAAAAATCTTAACATTTTCTCTAGACCTTACAGAGAAGGGGGCAGAATGAGCATTGAGCATTGATTTCAGCGCGTATTATACAGAGAAAAGATTGCTAGGCGAACGACAAAACGAAACTAATTTTACTTATAGTTACACCATTATCATACCACTCATTTCTACAAGGCATTACAGGAAAATAATACACAAATCTCATTAAATACGAGCAGGTTAAATTACATATATTAAATTCAAGAGGTTTGGTACATCACAGTAAAAGTTAATCAGTTACGAGACCCCTGGTTAGAGGCTCTGAGCCATCAAGGAATTTTAACACGAGATATTCGTACAACATACACGACATTTGAACGTGTGCAACATCTGGGAAGTTGATCATATTTTAACTACACAGCACCTAATTCCACACACAATTTCCATCTTTGACAACGTATGATAATTAGCTTAAATTGACAACACGAAAAAAATAGACAAGTATACAGAGCTGTCGCTCTACATTCCAAAGTCTTAACCACAGTTTTCAGTCATAAAAACGACTTCACACCGCTCACCATCCATCTCGTGAAGAGGCCGTCATATGAGTCATGACTTCCTTAGAGGCATCAGTGGCAGAATAAAAGGTACGGTATTTTATTTAACTTTATGTAATACAACAATGGATTTATCGTATACATAAACCATCAGATTATAGATTTGAAAGTTCCCTAATGTTAGGTGACACAAGAGGAAAATTAGTGAAGATGAAAATAGAAAATTACACATTCAAAATTAATTTATCACAGTCAATTATCACTATAACTAAAAATTCTCAATAAGAGAGCAATGATAAATGAAACGAAGTTGAATTTGAAAACTCCAGTAATTCATTGTGACATAAAAAACGAAAAAAATGAAGTTTCTGGTGTTCTAGAGAATGGATTTGCACTTAAATCATGCGCACCACGATTTTGTGTGCCACGTTTGGTCTAAAAAGGTGCTCTTTAGATTCGCGTAAATACGGTAATAACAAAAGCCCGCGAAGTTCCTAATCTAGCCCATAATGAACTGCAGCGCCATGAAACGTCAAACTTGGCAGGAAATTAATTGAGCTCAATTTCCGATGTCCAAAAATGTGAACAGAAAGTGACTCGATATAGTTAGCCAGTAATCCCTACTACAAGCAGTTATACTGACAATTTTTGTTATGTACGCTATGGTTCGAGATCTGTCTACCTAGATATCAACAATTCGATTGTTAATATTGAGTGTGTCTTCGCTGAACTCACCGTCACGAGCCTTCTCGCACGAGTTACCTTACATCTGCCTGAGAAACTTGATGACAGATGGTACTAGAATTTCTCAGAACAGATGTCCTTCCTAGCCTGAAACTAGTTTGCTACAGCATATATAACTGCAAGGGTGTGCCAATATCTTACGCTTCCAAAGTTGCAGCTTCTCAATACATATCTCCATGGCATCACGACAAATATTTGGCTCTCCACCCTGCAATTTTAGGTTAATGTAGGAATGATGGAAGGCTATGCCAAAAACATGGTTAGAGACATTAGAACCGTACGCGGGTACCATTGATGTACGTTGTACGTTTCTTAGCAAGATATTGGAGTAGAGAACTACAAATGAACTTCAGAATATCGCTGACGAGCACCTACTACAAGACTTCGTATGGAACTATTCGCGATTACGCGGCAAGAAAAATTGCGGCTTTCAATATGTGTTCACCACCTGTTTGAATCAAATAATTTATATTCTCGCCAGGCATTTCCTTCTAAGCATCCAAAATATGTTAAGAAGCGTGGTTGTCACAGCTATGGATAAATTCCGACATTTGTTAGGGAATTATGATTCTTAACATTTGAGAGTGTAGGCAAGGCGCAGAAGCAGTCAAGTACGAGTGTAAATGCTATTCAGGTGAGTGAAGGCAGCGACAGGTCGGCGTGGGGTCGAACCGATCGCGCCAAAGAAGGCGGAAGAAGGACGGACGAAGGCTGGAGAAGGACGGTAGAGAGACGAGCGACGTAAAGGCAACGTCCGAGAAGACCCGAAATCGGTGAACATCGCGAGAGTAAATGAAAATCAAGCGCAGCGAGGAACGGCACCGCGCGACGGCAACGTCCATGGTGCTGCGACCGACGTGAACTAGGGAAAGTAGTAAAGTTCCAGTTGATGGGGAATCCTAAATCGGACTTGACAATCAACAATGAAATGGCAGTTTCCATTATTGCCAACCAACTCCACAGACGTGAAGAAGAATTGTGGGGACCAGTAAAGTTCGAGTTGAAGGGAAATCCCAAACCAGACTTGCCAATCAACAATGAAATTGTAGTTCCCATTATTGCCAACCAACTCGACAGAAGTGAAGGAGAATTGTGGGGAAAGAGAGGCAAAGAGTCGAGGACTTAAGTTTTAACTCCAGACTTGATTATTTATGCAGTACAGTTTGAGATTTTTGTGAATCCTTGTGATTTCCAATTTCTTTTCCATAATCTTCTATCAGAAACATCATTTTCTCACATCATGATAACAGGCAATCTGTAAATACTCAGAAAATATTTTCATCTTGTGGGTTACACTAAACACTTCGCCATTGGTACTGTATCTATAAAAGGAAACCTTTCTTCCCACCCCGAAGAAAATTAACGACTGAAGATTGTCCCACACTCATTTTCCCTGAAACACCGACGAAGGCCCACTGCTTTTCGTTATCAGCGACCGCCGTCTGCTTCTCCCTCTCCTCGCCCTCGTTTGCTCACACCGCTTCACCCAGAACGCACTCGCGAAAGGGGAACGGAGCACCAACGTCATTTCTCAGTTGGCAAACGCTGCTCTTGCCTTTTAAATAAAATTCTATTCCTATCTTTCTCAAGAAATTCTTTCCATTTTTCTGGATTTTAAAAGAACACCTCACTTCCAGAAAGCGTACTTATAAAAAAACTAGAACCGTATAAAATCATTATAAGCAGAAGAAAACCTAAAACGACGAATAATCTCGACGTACGAAAAGAAAATCTTCACGTATATTTTCACCATTAGTTCGCGGAGTCCAGCCATGGATGGCTTCCTCTACGGGAATAACTGGAAAATGATCCAGCATGTGACACTTGCCCTCCAGAGGCGACGATGCTGCCCTCCGAAGCCGAAGAAGTCACGTGTTCTGGACATCTCGGAAAAAAAAGAAAAAAAAAGAAAAAGAAAAGGCCGTGAAAAGTTCCTTCATTGACAAAACGTTGTTTTGATTTATTTATTTACATCACAAACAGTTAAAAACCGTGTGGGACGTGCTATGGGGAGAAGTTAATTTTAAGTTACATTTATGACCAGAAGCAAAAGAGGGGCCATCTGAGAGTTTGCTCAAGGAGAGGGAAACTGGACGAAGGCCTGATCGAGATGTAACTTTGTCTTATTTAATGTGTCGTAATGTTATTTATTGTATCGATGTAACTTTACGTGTTATTTAATGACTTGCAAGGGAAATCGTAGTAATATAACAGCACGGGGTCAAGAAAAAATACGAATTTTCTTTTAAGTTTTTAACCAGCTTTTAATAAACGCAATTTCACAAAGAAATCCATGTACTTCAGTAGCATCTATCCATAGTTTTATTTGACCGCCAGAATTACTCGCTGTATGCGCGCGCATCTGTAACTAGCCAACTATAGCAAACGTATACTGTGATATTAATGTGGTCTCGTTCCGCCATGGTCACAGTAGTGGCAGAATCAGAGTTTTTATGTAAGGGATCAGTTGGGAAGTAGCACTTATACCATAGATTAACACCATGTATTCATCCATGCTTGTTCTTCGATTTTATGTACAGAGTTCGTTGATGTTGGATCAGCTGTGAAGGTGTCACCCAATCGAAAGCTTAAACGTCACTACTACTCTATGCTCCCGATTGGAGGATAGTGTAACAGCTTATACACGTCAATGGGCTTAATGCGTAAATCGAAGTATATTGGAAGTACATCTCAAGTGTTGGCTGCAGTGGTGATTATTGGCGGACAAATCGTTTTGATGTGAAGTGTTCTTGGTGAATGCGTGTTGTACTCGTAACACTTGGCTTATAACATTTTTAAAGTATATAATGTGTTTTTGAGTATGTCGGCACTTGCTGTTGTCGAGGGATGCTCGTAGCCTGTAGCAAGTAGTAGCTTGTTGCAAGTGAAATGAGTATTAAAAACTATGTTCCAATATTACATCTAATTTGACGTACATATGTTAAGCTTCAATGTGAATCTGATGACTGAAAGAATTGTCGCTTTTTGCATCGTTTTCTGTGCGAATATAAGCTGAAGATATTGTTAAAAGTTAAATGAACTAAGAAACATGGAAACAAGATTCAAACATAGTTATTGCCCAAATTATTTTTCCTTAGAAGACATTCTAGCTACCCAAGAAAGAGTATTATGTAAAGTGGAAAAGTCTGTGCATGGACTGGGTTGCTTGGATCAATCAACAGAAAATGAAGATCTTGTTGTGGGTACAACTCTTCAGCTCCCATTCTGGCTAGCCTTCCCACTAAGTCAAACAAGAGTACGTGTTGTTAGTGTGGAACTCCCAAAAATTTATAAGGAAGCATTCCGCGAAGTTTTGACTGCCGATGCCAGCATTGTAGATCTTTCCAAACTTGGTCGGTATTTTTACGAATTTGGCTCTCATCTTACAAAGTTGAATCACCGTGATTCATCAGCTATCAACACAATGCTGATGAATGCCTTCAAAGATCGATTGCGTGTGCTCATTGACTGGGCACAGAATTTGTGTACAGATATATCCAAAGTTCAGCGACTTGACACATTAGAAAAAGAATTGTATCTCGAAGGTTTCAAGGCTAGGAAGGAGCTTATTGCATGGCTTAGTGAGGGTAGCAGCAAGATGTGTGCATCAGAAATGGTTGTGAATCATAAAAAGAGGAAACGTGCAGTTGTAGACATTTAACCATGCTTATTCTTGGACTCAACTAGAATTTTATATGGCATTCAATTCGTTCTATATTTTTATTGCTGTTTGTATTGTTTTTTTTGTAAAGAAGTAGCATGCTACATTGTTTAGTGTCTAAACTCATTCATAATCTTTGTAAATATGTTATCATTGGATAAAAATACAGTTATTTCTCGAAACGAAAACATTTTTATAACGCCTTGACTCCATTATAACCATATAACCACATAACCATAACCAGTATAAAAAATTAGAACAAGAAGTGAATTGCATTAAATTGTTTTTCAGTCACCAAAATAGAACTTATAAATGAAGGAAAAGAAATACATTCTTTTGATATGATCAGATTTTGGCATTTCATTAACTTGTATAAAAGCTCCAAGTGAAAATTTGTAACTTAAAAAGGGTAATCATATGCTTGTACTTTAAAAACATAGATGTGTAATGTCAAAGAGGGTTCTTTTTCTTTTGTTTTTGAAGTTGATAATTTTTTTATTCAATTGGAAATTGTCAAAGATACGTTTGTTGCACAACTGATGGTCACCTGAGATGATGCAATGATTTACCATATTTTAATTACAGCCTTGCTTCTTGATATAATATGTTAAAGAATTTACAATATTTTTATCAAATTATAATATATTTCATTGATTTTTTCTGTAAAATTATAATCAACAGCATTTAAGCTATTTAAGTGTAATAACATTATTTTATACCATCTGTATCTATAAAAATTGATTTATGTTTGTTTACCTGAATGGCAAAATTATTTTATAAAAATGTAAACTATATATTAAACATAGGTGATATGATTTCCATGGAATTTTCTTTATTGATGCATCTTAACTTGGAAAAGTTCAACATTCTACTTTCATATTGAAATTCATGGATTTGTTGTAAAAATGCATTTGAATTAAACAGGTGCAAAACCCTGTTTGCTTTGTGTGTATCTTGAAAAATGATATATTGTAGGACCTGAAAACTTGGTGTTTTGAAGTCTCCTGCAAGTTAAGTTCTTCAAACCATAATTTACAAATGAAAAAAATGTTTGGGATCTTAATTACTTTGCGTGTGTGTGTGGGGAGTAGTTCTTTTTGGTAACCTCTAATTGTGCAGCTTGTGGTATCTTGAATTCAGAAACTTACAGTATCTGAAATTGCCTTGAAAACATTGTGTTATTATATGTTTCCCAAAATTTGGAAATGGGAGGCAAGGGGGACAGCAGGTTTCCATGTGTGAAATTTCCCACAAAGAATGGGGAGGGTATAAATAAAATTACTTCTATTTTACATTATGTTTACAATTCATTTCTTTTTCTGTCAGTAGATGACAGGTGATAAATAATAAAAGGCGGTCAGTGCTAGATTAATTAAGCCAGTTTTTATTCACAAAATCAATCTTCCAAAGTTACTTGTACCCAAAATTATTAATATTTCAATGGTATTCAGTTAAAGTTAGGTAATCAAAATGAGTTTGTTCAAAAGTAGAATTTTAATTTCATGCCATCATTACAGACATAATGGTATTTCAAAATTTTAAATCAACTTCATTTTCCATGGTAGATTTGTCATGTAGATAGAATAGTTTGTCATGAATGATTTGTTTTTTCACAAAAAATGACTTCTACCTTTACCCAAACACCATTAATTTATACATGTTAGAAGAAGAGTGGAGAAGGAAGTAAGACAATTTGACACAGTTTTGTTCAAAAGATTTCATAAACTTTATATTTTATTTTAGAATATATTATTTCAGTATTTATCTGAACAGAAAATAAATCTTTTGTAGTACAATCAATTAAAAACCATAACCTGAACATTATCATGTAAATCTTTTCTTTTTCGCATATTGTTTAAGGCATTTTGAAGCTACAGGTTTTGCAATATCTTATTTAAAGCATTCATTTTCAAGTAGTTAAATTAATAATTCTGATAATTAGATTTGACTCATTGAAGATTGCAAATATTTTTTTATCAATTTTGCCTTGGAGAAGCTCTTTTCAGAGAAACTCCGAAAAACAAATCATTAAAAGTTACATATTAAAATAATTTGGTTTTCTGGGAAATAAATTTTATGATATAAATTACCACAAAAAGGTATACTCTCAAAATGACTTATAATGAAGAAATGGAAAAAAGTTAAAGATAAAATAACTTACAGAGCACATGATTTTCAATATAGTGCACTTCTGAGTGGGGCTCATTTCCATTATTTTGAATTTTCTAAATTATCATAGAACAAAGTGTTGAATAATAATTACATGAAATGAATTTTCAACAGAAATATTAAAGATCACTGAATATGGAAAATGTTTCCAACCTTCCCTAAAGTACATTTATGAAAGATTGGAAACCAAATTGGCCTGAATTGGAGGTATCATAAACGTTTATTTTTTTATGTCACAAATAATTGGTGTACCTACGTTATTAGATTTTTAAACATAAATAGATTAGTTTCAATTTTGAAATGAAGAAAGAGTGACGGCTAAAGGATAAAATTAGATTATCAACTTTTTGCAAGATCAAGACCCTCCTCTGAGGAAATACTAAAAAACTGGAAAATTAGTCTTAGAGAATACAGTTTTTATATTTTTAATAATGAATTTCATTTGATTGCTGCTATAACGAGTGATTTCTGTTTATTAATATGGTGTAAATTAATTGTGTGATAAATATAAATGTATACCCTTTGAAGGAGGTTGTTGTTTTTATTTCCTCTATATTTTCCAATTTTTTGATGGTTTTATCGAGGTTTTACTGTAATTTTACTAATATTTTTAAAGCAGGGTCCTGATTTTAATAATAGTGCGATGTTAAATAACTATTCTAAATTAAACTAGGACAGTATTTTCAATCTAAATATTTCATACATGCTAAATAAATTAAACTCATTCAATTTCTAAAATGAAACCATCCATCAAAAGTGGACCAGAAGGGAGAATGTTATTGGAGCCACCTAAGAAATGATGTAAAGATAAGTTTCAAGGAGATGAAAGACCCAGATGGCTATATTCTTGTTGATTATGACTAAAGGATATTCAAATCTTCTTTAAACTTTTCAACACTAGTTTATTCTGTGTTTTTCTTTAAAATTTTGGTTACAGCATATTTGATTAAGAGATTACATTTTTTCCTGAGACATGTATTTATTCTTGCATAATAAGATTTAATGATTACATTTTATATTTTTATTTCTGATAAATTAAGCTCTGCACTCAGCAGTACACTCTGAGGAAGGCCACAACATGTTGGCTGAAACAAAGAAATATATAAATTGGTTTCACACAAAATCCTGAACAAACTCTTTGTTACTCTTTTTTTTTTTTTTTTTTCTCCAGAGGGGTTCAGCAGTAAACTATTAATTTATATCTGTTGAACAATATGTTTTTGGACACCAAATATCAAAACTGTTTTAAGACCCAATGAACTGAAATTTTAACTAAAAGAAACAAAAATGTCAAGATCGATTATTTTTAGGAGCGTTCATGTGAATTTATAGTTTATCATTCACAAGTTATATCCTTGATCAGTGTCTTTTTCGAAGGAAAAATATTTCTTTTGTATTTGTTACATCTTTTTTCTGTTGGGTAAAGTTCTTTGCTATTGTTGGATAAAGCAAGTATTCTCATAATATTATAGTATCTTAATTATCATCATCATGAAATGCAGGATGAAAGGCCAGGGGGGCCTGTTCCTGGTTTAGCAATAGTCCTGAAATATTTCAGTCATCCAGGTATTCCTGCGTGATTCGTTTCTTTCTTGGTCTTCGTATATCTCTCTGCCCAAATGGTTAATATTTTAGGGCAGCCACTAGGAATCTTCTTTCTTTCAATCTTTTAATAAGTTCCAGCCATTTTTTGATTATTTTTAACGTTCTCTGTTATACTTGTTGTATTCATTATTTTCCTTATGTCTTCATTTCTCTGTTGATCCAGTCTGGTATAGCCAAGAAGGTGTCTAAGGAACTTCATTGAAGCTGTTTCTAGTCTTTGCATGTCTCTTTGTTTTCAGATCCAAGTTTCTGAAGCAAATAATAGCATTGGCTTGGCTGTCACATTCTGTATTCTTAATTTGTTATCCTGGGTCATGTCCTTCCCAAAATGTGTTTTAATTATTCCTTTATTCTATTATAATTCAGAATTATGTGTTGCAGGTTTTGGGAATTTTGCCACTGCCATTGCTTAAATATTTGAATGTTGAAACATGCTCTTTATTTCTTCTTCAATGACTATCTTCACTCTTCTTAGTTCTTTTCCTTAGAAGTTCATTGTTTATGTTTTCTTTGTTAAGATTTTCATGTCATAGGTCTTTGCTATTTTGTTTAGCTCATTTGTTACTATTTGGAGATCATATGATTCAACCAAAATTATTTTGTCATCTGCATATAGAACTGTTTGAATGCCTAGCTTTACTGACTTCTTCCATTCTTCGGTGAGACTATTTGGATAAATATTGTAATGGTTGGAATATTGTAATGATTCTTCTCACAGTCATCTACTACAGTTAGCAATGTGTGATAGAATTTTGTAGATTCTTCATTGCTTCCTTCCACTGGTGCGTATACTTCAACTAAATTAATTTTATTCTTACTCAGTTTTGTAGTTATAATTCATAGAGAAATTAATCTGTAATTGAAAAAATTAGTAAATCTCTTTTGAAAATACAATCTCTATCAAAAATCTCTTTATCAGAGGAGGAGAATGAAAAAGAAAAGAAAGAAGAAAAAAAGTGAGACTGGTCTTTGAACAGTTCAAGTGTCTATGAAAATTATCCATTATAATCTGTTAGCTAAAGTATTTAAAAGCAAAAAGTGAACATTTGGGGTCGGATTTTGATGTCCTGAAATGCTGCCAACAGTGATCAATAAAATGCTCCAAAAATATTTTAAAAATATCCTGAACCAAAGAAAAATGTAAAAACTTTGGTCAAAAGCACTTTGGAAGAACAACTCAAACTGTTGAGTAATTATGTAATCAAGATTTCTTCATTTTGATCAAA